AAGCTTTTAGCGGCTCTGACCAGTAGTAAGCCCAGGAACAAAGACGTCACATTTTGCGCGCTTTCGGTACCATGGGTCGCTCCCGTAGGTGGAGGAGGTTTCCGCGTCATCCAGTTAATACATGACGCACTGATATTTAGTCACTCTCTCCATGCCCGCTGGCTTGCCCGAACCCCAAGAGATGTGGAAACCGCAAAAAAGGTAGACGCTTAACATTTTTGAAAACGGGAGACGACGGACGAAAAAGGGGAACACACACAAAACGCCTCAAATGCAGCTGCTAAATTTTATTTAAACAGTCGTTTATATAGCACCTCTCCCACATCGTCTTCCGGAACTGCACACGTCACTAGAACTTGCAATGCTGTGTATGAACTAAGTGCAATGGTTAGAAAAAAAAAGGGGGAGAAAAAAAAAAAGGAAAAAAGTCAAGACGAGATGTACCCTGGCTAAAAGTTCCAGTGACGTGTGCAGTTCCGGAAGACGTGTGGGAGAGATGCTACATAAACGATTGTTCAAATAAAATTTAGTAGCTGCGTTTGAGACGTTTTGTGTGTTGTCCCCTTCTTCGTCCGTCGTCTCCGGTTTTCAAAAATGTGTAACATCAACCAGCTAGCCTGCCTACTTACTTCATCTTCTAGACGCTTAAATATGATTGCAGGGCCCCTTTAATTGGTGTCCTCGCAGGCGTTGACTCATCCGAGAAAAAAGAAGCAAGCGGGGAAAAAAAGCTGCTCAGCTAGGCACATTCCAACGCTCCCAAAACATGATCTAAGTGGTAGGACGGTAGTAAAAGCACACGCAAGCACGCACACAATAGGCAGTTTTAGAATAATGTACACAATTTTAGCACATGCTGGCGTTAAATCTAGCGCTTGCGTCAGCGCACGCTGTGCAGGAGTGTTTTAGAATAACGTTTCTCCGCTGCAACGTAAAGGCCCAAGCATCTCCAGCTTGCAATGCCGCAAACCTACAGTAACACTTTCTATTTCACGCACGAAATACAAGGAGAAAAAAACAAGTTTATTGCTTCGAAATAAGATTTTAGATTCATTTAAATATGATAATGCGACGGGAGCGGTCGGCCGATCGTGCGCGCTTGCGTCGCCTCAACAAGAGAGCGTGCACCGACCTTTGCACACCGTACCACCTTCGCTGAGAAACGTTTGTGCGTCGCAGGCAGCAAGTTGCCGGCAATCGTTGCCCACTTTACTGGGTCTTCCAAAACGTTTCTGATGCGCACCTCCCGTAGGAGTGCAATGTCGTCCTGCGTTGAAGATTGCAGTCGAGAGGATGCACCGAAGTTGTGCACACAATGCCTGCCGCAGCCACAGTCCTGAGAGCCGCCATTTTTTAACTGCGCTCGTCTTGGCTTTAGCCAAATTCTCATCACAAATCTTCCTTGGAGGACAAAAAGACTGCGTACGTGCACAATTTCTGAAAAATAGCGTACGCTAAAATAGTGCACGCAAAGCACAAAACGTGGTCAGCATTCGGCGCAGTGGCAACGATGCTATTCTTTGCAAAACCAAATCTTTAGCGTGCGCTATTCTAAAACTGCCTAATCACACATACTGAGGAGGAACCCAAAAATAACTACCGTATTTACTTGCATAATGAACACACTTTTTTTTTTCGAAAAATTGACACATCAGGGGTGGTACTCATGAAATGTACTTGGGAGCAGTCACGGGAGCAGCTGGAACTGCTGTTTTGGAGCAGGCTGGGAGCAGCTAAAACTACATTCTGGAGCAGGCAAGGAGCAGCTCAAATCAGTTTTCATTGTACTTCAGCTTGTGTCTTAGACAAGCACGGGAGCAATTTCAATTGTGCTTAGCAGCACAGATGAACATGAGTGGTTAGGAACCTAGGTAGATGGGATACCAGTGTAACAGATGCAAAAACTTGGCCTTAGTGAGAACCAAAAAGCAAGTACCATATGTTTCTGAACATAGTGTCCTTGATATTTCCTGAGTGGCTGTCAGCTGCTCAAAATGCAAACCAGCACTGCTTATAGCACAACCCACACATGCTCGACATAGTAATTATATGTGTGAGCCACGTGATGTGCGAACCACGTGACGTGCAGTTGCGCAGAGAAACAGGGCAGCAAAGTTGGAGTTTATCCTATTGTACAACTCAATATCAAAGCAGCAGACTACGATTAACGGAGTTATATCGTATTCGAAGTGATGAGCCAGATCTATCGCTCGCATGAGAGCTGCTGGCCAGCAAGGTTTCGGATCGGACCGCATTTCAGTTCAATCAAATCACGATTTATCTTGCAGGAATGCAGTTCCAACTTCAATTGATGAAGCACTAAAAGGAATCTTTTGCTAATGTGTTTTCAACTGGCTGACGTCCAGAGGCCAGGCCACAGAGCCTCAGGCAATCTGACGCTTAACGACTCGTCCTCACTTCGGTCGACTTGCTTAACCGCTTATGGATGAAGAATAACAATCTAGTCGTAGGTGATGTAGCTTTTGGGATCCGACCCCCGAGTTTTTTCGTGCACTTCCGACTCGGGATACACGGGGAAAATAAACAGAACAAAAAATTGCAAGGCCGACCAAGCTAAACGCGCTCATTGTTGCCAATCGAGTCGATAAAAACCGAAACCAAGACAAAATAGAATTTTTTTGGGTGCACGTTATGCGATTTCAGGGTGTCTAGCAAATTATTATTTTGAAATTCCCCGACTTTTCTAGGTTTTCCCTGACAATTTCAGGTGAAATTTCCTGACCACTGTAGATGCGGGTAAATATATTACCATTACAACACAAGGCATTGAGCACTCTGAGGATCATTTTGCATGGGCTTTATCCAGCTTGCATATTCCGAAATATTCAAGTTCGTTTAGTCCGGATTAAACGAGCACTTTCTAGCTGCCGACATCGTCAGTGAAGAGGCCACTTCCGGAAACACAATGAAAACACGACGCTCAGCCACACACGCCAATAACCAAATGGCAGCATGTCTGCCAGATGCACACTTTCGGATACTTTCGGCTTGGATTGGATTGGGGTCTGCAGCTTTTCCATTTGTTACTAAATCTCGTAGTTCTAATTGGATCTAACTTAGTGTCGCGCCCTCAATCCAGTCCAATCCAAGGCTTCTACTGGAATTGTCGATTCTCTTTGCATCGGGTAGCACACTCGACATTGAGTGAGCAGAGCCCACGCTCCGCTCTAAGCAGAAGTTATTGCCTATTTTTCTGCCCTCAAGTCTTTGCTCAGGGCACTTGATGGCCTTTCCGGCTCATTTTCCCTGACTGGGCTTGCTTTTTGGCAATATCCCTGACAATTCCCAGATTTTTCCCGGTAAATAAAATTTCCCCGACAATTCCCGGTTTTCCCGGTTGCTAGATACCCTGGATTTGGGAGAACAGTGGCGCGAAGTATTGGCTGTGGCGCAGCTTCTGCAAAATGGCACAGGATGGCGCAGACAAATGAGTCTGGCGCAAAATGGTGCAAAATGGCACAAATGGCGCAGCCATTCTTTCCCCGCACATATTTGGAGGCTGCATTCATTACGTGGGGTAAACTTTTTGCAATTACACACTGCGCGAATGTCATTTTAGGAGCCCATGTGACATGGCAGGGTACTCTGGCACGTCTCCACTGGCAGAGGCGCACCTATGGTTGGTCGTGGGTGCGCCACAGTAATCAGGCACTATAAATGGCAAACCGTTTTTAGGGTTCCCTTGGCGTACCTTTTGCCGAAAAAAAGCACCCTACGAAGCTCACTCGGCACAAACAGCGACGTGACTGTTCTTAGGCCTAACCACATTCACAATATCATTGTCCGAAAGTGGATCACAGACAACGGTGTGTTTGTTGACATCAATGCATCCGATGGACGAAGCACGTCCAGGCATGGACAATTCCTCGACCCCAGCTTCGCTAGGCGTGTGCGCTGCTTGGTTTCACGGTTGATCACTTCCGCAACCATGCAATTGCAGCCATTACGAGAGAGGCTTGGCTTGGCTTGACTTGTCCTGGCCACTTGGCAGCAAAAGGAAAATTGACTTCAAGACTCGCGGAGCCGAAAATGAAAAGTGCGCTCATTACGCAAGACAAAAAAAGAAAAAATTTCAAATATTGATGCCCGTTGTGGGGGGTGCGCTAGTTATGCGAGTGCATTCCTTATGTGAGTAAATACGGTAGTTAATTCTTTTTATAAAGGTGGCATTACACCGACATTTGCCGCGCATGTAGTACACTGCCCTCAGTCGGCCAAGCAACGTCATTGGGGAAAGGTTCGGGACTTTGTTTTTCTGGGGCTTCCATCAGCACCTTGGTTGATTTCATGATGGTGGACATGAAAGAAGGTGTGTGCAAAAAGTTTTGTTTCCTTTCGAGGAAAACAGCAGCAGAAGCTGTCGCAATGCTTTGAGAGGCTTTCAAAGCATCTGCTTTGAGCCAGGCAAAGGTTTGCGAATGGATTTCTCGGCTTAAAGGTGGCGTCGCTTGAAGACCAACCGCGACCTGGCCGTCCTTCACCGAGCAGAACCGACCAAAACATTAAAAGCATTCGTGACACGGTAACCTTAAAACAATTGACGAGTTGCAAGCATCGACAGGAATTTCTTTGAGTCAATAAATTCAAGAGCTTCCCACCAAAGGACTTTGTTCCTCATTTACTCTCTGGGGATTAGATGGCCGACACTTTGGACCCAAAGATCAAATGGCATCAAAATGGGATGAAAGTTCCCCACCCTCCCTAGAGGATCAATTGGGAACTGAACCAAACCCCCGCAATTCTATTTTATTTCCTCCAACGAAAAGCAACCTCGGAGGAAAGCGCTTTCAACACGTGGAGTAGAAGAAAACTAAGAAGGCCCAAAAGTCCACCATCTTGTGAAAGTTCCAAAACGGTTTTAAACGACAGGTGGTGGGAGGAAGCATTAAATTTTGAAAACGTTCAGAGGAATATGTGCACGTTGAAAACGCACCGTTGTTGTGCATTGCACACGTGCCAAAGGGGCAGAAAGGACGTACCCTTGAGCAGCTGCTGCAGCTCGCAGACGGAGCTGAGCAGGACGTGGAACTGGCGCCTGCGCTGCTCCAGTCGGCTGTCCAGAGCCTGCCGGGCACGGTCCAGCGCCCGGATCTCCCGCTCCAGGGCTTCCAGCTGGCTCAGGGAGCCCCGTCGATCCGGCTGCGTCCCAATCACCTTGGCCAGAGCGTCATACTCTGGGCACAAGAGACGACTTTCATTCAAGCACAGTTTGCTCCCGAGTTTCTCCATTACCGCCGTGGGCAGAAAGAATGCATGCGAGAAGTGGAGTGCAATGCAATGTTTAAGATAGCTCTCTCTGGGCGATGTTTACTACCTACGTACCATATTTTCCCGCAGCCAGAAATAGAGAGAAATATCCGTTGGGCGATCTTTGGGGATGCGACGGCAAATTGTTACCAAAATTAGCAATAAGCACGAGGGGAGGGAGGGGCGTGAAGCGGGAACTGATAGCGCAAATCGCAAATGCGTCAAACCCGCGTTTTGCGATGCAACAAAAAACCCGGGGGGACCAGCTACGAATTCTCTCGTCTCGAGTACCAGTACTGCAGATTGCGCAATATCCGACGGGAATCGGGATGGAGGATTTTTTAATTTGTAACGGAGCCACAAAAATGGGGCGAGTGACCTCTCGGGGGAGGGTACGGGATATTACGATATAGTCCGCGGACTATACACGTTTAAATCTTAATGCCAGTGATTCTCAAACTGAAGTCCGTGGATCTCCAGGCGTCCTCGAAAGTGTTCGTGGGGGTTCACACCAAATAAAAAAAATTGCTCAGAAAAAAAAAAAAAATATTTCGTAAGGCATCAAGATTTTTGATGCAGAATGCACTCGGGGTCCCCGGCCCCCGAGTGGGTCCCTGATGGCCAGAAGTTTGGGAACTGCTGCTTTACGCGACGCAGACAATACAGTTTCTCCGAAATGATTCATCATGAGGGACACGAGAGATTCTGTGAATGACCGAGAATTTCTGCACGATACAAGCCTTTTTGCGCTTAGCCGACATGGAGTGCCTCCAAGCACGTTGCCTAGCGCTCTAGCTAAAAAAATGTGCGCAAGTTGGCTTTCTGGAAAACGTGGCAGTGTGACCATCCCCAAGTCTACCCAAGGTGGCTCTCTTCATTTGCTCACTTAATCCAAACTCTTTAAGCATCCCCATAAAATAACGAGATTTCGGCATGATGCGGCACAACGAGTAACTCGTTCGACTTTTTAAAAGGATTCACGTAGACATCGGACGCTGCGGAAGACTGTTTGTGGATCGACAAGCGAGTCGACAATATGCGAAGTCATTAGTACCTTGCTTGTTTTTGCGGATGCTCTTTGCCTTCTGCAGTTCCTGCTTGTTGGCCACTATCTTCTTCTGGGCGTTGGCTATGCCAATCTCTGAAAGAGGGTGCAGAGATGGTGAAAACACTTTGGAGGCGGCGTCTGTGCACCCACCGATTTCGCTGTACAGCTGCTTGTAGTTCTTCATCTCTGCCTGGTTCATGCACAGCACCTGCTGCGACTTGGAGATGGCAAACTCGCACTGCTCCAGAGTCATCACCATGCGTTCGTATATGATCGCCCTGCAAGAGAGGGGGTGGGTTCGGGTTTGTACACTCGGCGAGATACCAAACTAGGGACCGGTTACCGTCCTTCATGTGCCCAAAGAGGTCCCCAAGTAGAAACAAATTGCATGACGATAGCCAGCATGTTATTCTGGCAAGTGGCGGTAGTATGGCCATCATTGCGACGTCCCACCTCGTCGGCCTGGCTGCAGCAGAACAGGCTCCAGAACGAGCAAGGGACCACTCTCGAGGAGGCACTAAACACACCAGCCAGTTTAGGCACCAGACTAATTCCTGTTTCTACAGCACAACTCGACTGATAACAAGATGACAACTCCTGCCTCTTTCTAACGAAACGACGTGACAATGCTCACACTACCAAACGGTATGTCAACGACCCAGTTCGCAGAGTCTGTGACCACGCAGTTGATTGCCGATTATGCCGCTGGTGTACAGCATGCCGCTCGTCTGTCTTCTATAGTTGCAGAAGAGTTTCCAAAAGTTAACCGACATTCGATATGGACACTTGGCTGTGAGGACAAAATTTCCAGGGACTGATCCGTCCGCACTTAATTCTGTCCACAGACAACAGATAGCTAGTCTGGGAGCTAACTGGGAAATTTTGTCTCGCTATTATGAATGCAAGTTTTCTGAACACAGTCCACAAACGAGACATTAAAGCCCAATGCATAAGGGCGTTGATAAAGCCCTTAAGCACTGGGTTGCAGAGTACACCCAGAGATGCTCGCTGCTGGTTATCGGTTGCTTCAAAATCAACTTTTTTTGCAGAAATTCTTTTTTTTTTGGTAGTGTCCCCCCTTAATAAAAAGACCCAAGCACCGAACCATGGTTACATTTTTTGGAGCTTTCTATCTGTCTTTTCTTTCTTTATGCGTGTCTCTGTTTAATGGTGATAGCTGATAGGAAGCTTGACGGGACATGCCGAAAATGGCATGTCCCTTTAAGCGGGAAGGCCACAATGTCTGATGGGTCGCTGAGGTACTTGGCTCCCTGGCGATGCGGTGTCCCCTTGGACGCAGACGTGGCTCTCTTAGTTTATCGTCTGCGTTCAGAGCGTGCGAGACGACCACGTCTACGGCATCACTTGCTTTGTCGGATTCTTCTCGTTCCAACGTTTCCGACACTTGTAGCAGCAGCAATGAGAGTGATTGTTACCAAAGATCTTGGAAGCTTTTGACTTGGACCCACTGGCGACCAGCTTTTCGCATCGACTTTGCACGTAGAGTGCTTGGGCGTGAAGCGGTCCGCACACAAAACCATTGCGTGCAATGGGGCCCAGTCATCGCACACTATGTTTCCATACCTCCCGTCGCGTAGGACCCTTCGGAACAATGAAAAAGGCGGCCGTTTCTAGCCTGCCTTCCGATATCCCACCATGCAACAAACTTTGTGCGAAATTTGGAACTGCTTTCAAATTGGGAGTTTTGCAAGCACGCATCTCCTATTCCAGTGCAGCATGATATTACCGAAAACACAGTGAACAATGCACCGCGTGAAGGTGGTGGTGCGCTGGCCGCTCAATATTACGACCCGCGTCACTTGTACTGCTTGCCACGAGTGGCAAGCTCTCGTGAGAGGAGGAAAGGGGTCGAAAGGGCGGCCCTTTTAACAGACACCTTAAATAGAGGAGGCGTTGAACACACAACCACATGGACACCGTGGCCTTGCACATCGATGTCAGAATTCTACCGATGTTGCCCGGTCGTCAGATGAGAACGATCCACATTCGTAAATTGATGGTTGCAATTACTAGCGTTCCAACAATGGCCAAACTCGGTGTATAAACTAAGTTACCTATTCTATTTCGAGAGTAATCCACCCGTTTATTTTCATGTCCTAACCCGCCAAGGTTTTAGCAGAGTTTCCAGAAATCAAAGATTATACGGCTTATTTTGAGACATCTTCAACGAGCCACCAGACCGCTGGCTGCAGGTCTCAGTCCACTCCCCGTGTTTGGGACAACGAGATGTGTCACTCTCAGAAAATGTTTTCTCTTTTTTTTTCTCGGCATCCTTGGGAATCTGGCTCCCTTTATCACTGGCTCCACATAGCTGGAGGGACAGAACGAGCGGGTTGGTATGGATAGTTAAACTTGAGGAAGAAAACGAGAAAGGACGGACAGACACAAACTTCCAACTGTCTGTCCGTCCTTTCTCGTTTTCTTCCTCAAGTTTAACTATACATAGCTGGAGTTTCAGCTTTCTACAAAAAGCCGTAAAAAATCTTCCGAAATCTTTCCTCAAATTTTTGTCTTTTTAGTGTGCACAGAAGTCCCGGAGTTAGCCGGAATTTAATTACTTTTTTCAGTCCGGGTCAACTCGGCTGCTGCCATTGTACAGCGTAAGTGGGAACCGCCAGCACTCATTAAACTCCAGCCATGGCGCGCCGGCCCAGAAAGCGCTTCCCTCCCCTGGTGGTGCCCTCGCTCGCCCCAAATGCGCCGCCAACTCGGCACCTTCTGCAGGGTGCCTAAACCCGCCGCCGTCTCGTCCCTGTCTGCAAATGGGGGCGATTCTACGCTTCTCGTCGCAAACGAGCGCTTCCCGCTCTTGCTCAATTTTTACGCCCAACATGGTCACACGTCTGCTTCGACGTGCACTGGCGGCACCCGACGCAACAAAGAGTTTTGCGGGCCGGGACACTTTGTTGCGCTCCATTTGGGCAGGGGGTTGCTCGAACGATGGCCCTCGACCCAGCCGTCGTAATACTCCATTAGGCCCGCCAGTAAGTTTGCAGCGTGCACTCCGTCGGCGACGGAACCGGCCCGGAAAGCCCACCATGCCAAGAAGCTGCGGTGAGAACCATACCGCAGCGTTGACCGGACACGAAGCAAGATTGCTTCGTCGCCCGTCCCTTGCATGCTGCACGTGGCCTCCGCGCCGTGGTCGTCGCACGCCGCATAAGCGCCGCCTCAACTCGGGCCACGGAAGGGGATAACGGCCAGAACATCCACGCGGACTGTACGGGGTATTCACGACAGTCGACCTAAAGCCCCTCTATACTGAAAGCGAACCGTCATGCTCTTGCCGAAAACAAGGCCGTGCCACTTGTGGCACCACCTTGTTTGAACTTCTATGTCCACGCCTCATAGCATTGCTCCCAATTTCAGCAGTGACCAGCTTCTTTGTACCTCCAGGTCGGCCATCTTGAAAGTTGTGTTTCCGGCTGAAACACCATCCTTAAAAGGTAAATCGGGTCAAAAGTCAAACCAAAGTATATGATTAATATCAATTTATGGAGACTAAACACGAGCACTGCCGGAGTATTACACTAATGGGAAACCATGATCCATGCTAAACAGATTTTAGAAGTGCTATCACCAGCTTCTCAGCAGGCATTCAGCAGGCTGGCTGTTTGACAAGCAACCTTGTGCTCCAATGTTAACTTCCTTTTCAGAAAGGTCCCTTGTTCGTACTGCCACTTCCTTTACCGTGCTTTTCCGCTGCGTTTTCGGTCGTTGCAGCGGCCAATTTCTGCTTATGTTATGTTTTAGTGTTGCAGTTGTAAGTTCTCTTCGGCGATTGTGCACAAAGATTGTTGCCTCTTAAGAACAAAACGAGCGTGTTGGTAACAGTAATTAAACATGAGTAAGATACATAGAAAGGGGGGACGGACAACAAAGACTGCTCCCTCAAAAGCATTGTGGTGTCGAAGGTGGCACTTACTGGCGACCATAGTTTGATCCCTTCCTGCACGAGATTACAATTAGCTCCCACAATGCTTTTGCAATGTGCATTGCACACCACCAAGACTGCAGTAATTCTCAGAAGTGGGAACTCATTCTGAGCCTGCGTTCGTCGTGGCAAACTCGCTTTTCGGCTGGCAACTTTATGAATGTGCATAAATATTTGCTACAGATTTCGGATATCTATGAAGCAAGGCAGTAAAATGGCCGTTGGCTCTTCCTCCCTGTAAAATGGCTGTAGCCTCTTCTTCCCTGATGATCGGAACTGCTCTTGTGATTAGGCCAGTCGTACGTTTTGAGGTGCCGCAATACAAGATTTGTGTACCATGATAGAGCCGGTAGTTTCGGTTTCGTCGTAAATCCCCAAAACAAAAATTTGAGATAGGATATCTACAAAACTAGGCAAGGCATAAAAAAAAAACAAAAAAAAACAACAAAGCGGACACTTTATAATTTAGATACACTTCCTTCACTAAAGACCGTTGTAACCCTAAAATCGAAAAAATGTACCCGAGTTACCCTTTAATCTGCACTCAAATGAGTTTGATGGGGTTAAACTCACAGTGGTAGGGTGGAAGTCGGACCACAGTGCAGTCAGCCTTCTCGGCGTCAGTGTCCACCTGGTACTTCACGAATTGTGGCTCGATCGGTGCCACAACGTTGAGGAGCAGGTTCTCGGTCATCTCGGCGTCCCGCTAATTCCTTTGATCGTCAGCCACTGCTTCGTCCACTGCTTCGTCCATGACAACGACACTTCCGGTCACTAGTTTCTCCAGAACTTGGTCGAACCGTACCTCGAAGTGGGTACCGTCCATACCCTCGTGGTAACCGCCACTCTTCTTGCCATGCAAAATGTCTAAGTAGCCACCGACGTAGCCGTCCTCGCTGCCGACGTGCGTAAGGATCGGGCATTGGCCCTTGCTTGACGGCTGCATGAGGCATGTTTCAAGACCACACCCGAAGGCTCAATGGGACGAGGCCGTGTCAACCCACACCATCGAGAGCGTGCCCTGCCATTACCCGTGCCTCGTCCACGTAGAAAATGTGCAAGACCACCTTGCCTGTGACGTGCGACGTCGCGCAGGTACCTCTGCTGCCACGCGACAATGTCGGGTCGCTCAATTATCGGCGAGTTTCGCCCTTTCCTCTCTAGCTTGAAACCAATTTCGCTAAGAAGACAGCGCACAGTCTACGCCTGCAACGAAGGAAGTTCAGGGCTTGCGTGGAACTCGGCCGTTATCTTGTGGACCGTGGCGATTTTGTTCCAACAAAAAAAGCGATGCACGCACAATTTAGCGCACACAACGCAGTCACCATGCTTGGTGTCACAGCGCCTTTTGCCTACGCTTGCTGGGCGCTTTCAAGAAGGTGTCGCAAGTTGTCCATCCATCATCCACTGCCTTCTCCCTCCTGATCTCATGGACGATCTCTACACCGACAGCGAGCAGTTTGCGCCTTGCAGACCTTGTCAATGGTGAAGCTGGGCTTCGTGAACCACAACTCAATGTAAGCGTCTATAACCAGCTGTCGTTCACCGCTGTCGAGCATGCGGCCGCTCTTATGCTTCTTGTTAAGGTGCCTCTGCTTAGACGGTGAGCGGAAGGATCCGGAAAATTGCATTCTGCTATCCCTCCTTGAGATCCATGACGCAAGTCGTGGATTCGTCAAAACCCGAAAAGCGGAGGTTTCCGCCTTTAAAATTCCAATAAACCTACACAATTCGTGCATGAGGCCTATTAGACTAAAAACAACTACAAAATGTGTGTTATTCGGGAAAACTACGATGGTCTGCTTTGTTGTTTTTTCCGATGAAAGGATGGTTTTCATGTTTTCTTTTACCTCAGCTCAAAGACAGGACATTAAACGAGCCTTTTTTTTTAATAATGAACCTTTTTCGTTGATAATGAAGTCTCCTAACTTCTATAAGTGTCCTGAATGAATAACGTAGCCTAAAAGAGGGTTTTTCGTAGCGAAAAGCAGGCTTTCAAGGGCACTAGTTTCTCGACAACACAGGCACTTCAAACAGGTGGATTACGCTTGCGGGCCATCTTTTACAACGTTCTCAAGTTGTCACCAACTGTAAAACATGTGTTGCTTTTGTTCACACGCTGTCCAACACTTTCACTGCCCATAAAACTTACCAGCCATAGGTTTCCTGTCAGATGTCTTTGCTTTACTGCCCACACCTGATCTGAATTTGTCAAAGGAGCAAAAACAGAACTTATGCACTTTTCTGGAGATCTTTATCTCAAAGATAAGCGTCCTGTCATCTGTGTTCGCATTAAGACCGGCGATGACCCACCAGTCTGTCACAGGCATGTTCCTTCATTGAAGCGTAACTTAATTCATGTCAAGAGGTGCTCCACACCTTTCCCTAGTCCTTACTCCTTCTTTTAATACAAAAAGATGGCTCCTGAAAATCGTGTGCGGACTATCGACGACTAAATAAAGTCACAAAAATAGATATCTTCCCACAGATAGACGATGCTTTGGACTGCCAGGAAGGATCTAATTTTTTCTTTTTTTTCTACTGCCAAATATTAGTAGATGAGCGCAATCGCACGCAAGAAAGCTTTTATTGCTCCCAATGAACTTCACGGGTTTAAAGTTACGACTTTTGGTTTTTGCAACATCCCGGCCACATTCGAAAGGGTGATGGAAACTTTGCTGTGAGACCTGAAGTGGCAAATATCTCTTTGTTATTTATACAATGTAGTCATTTTCTTAGTGACATTCGATGAACAACTCCTTCGCTACAAGTCGGTACTGGAACGCATTAAACAGCTGGACTATAACTGGAATCAAACTAGTGCCATCTCGCTGCCCATCAAATCCATATCTTGTCAAACTGTCAGTGCTGATAGCACATGCCCTGATTTGGAGAAAGTAAGAGCTGTCACCGGGTTTCCTCACCCTATTAACATAAAACAACCATACAGTTTCTTTGGCCCCTGTTCAAATTTCTAACGTTTCATCAAAGCAATCGCTGATCGGGCTACCACCCGATCACTTCCCAAAAAAAAACTCGTCCTTTGTATGGACAATAGACCAAGAAAATTCAATTCTATGTTTGAAACACTCTTTAACTAACGATTCAATCCTGCGTTATTTTGATCCACGTTGTCCAACCGAAATACATTGTGATGCCAGTAGACTTGGATTTGGGTTCTACCGCAACAAACACTGCTCACCATAAAATTCCGTATGAATGCCCGCCCCTGAGAGACTGCCTATCCCATATTTTGGGCTGAACAGCCATCACATAAAAAATTCCGAAACATCACCTGCCCCTAGATTCCCGCCGGATAACGATCACGCGATATTTGACGGGAATCACATCAACTGTGCAATCTGCGGTATCGGTACGTGTGACAAGCATGCGTCGTGCCCCGGCATGCTAATCTGCTTCGCTCACAATCTGCGGTATCCATTCCCGTGACATGCAAGTTTGTAGTGGGTTTCTGGGCTTTTGTCCGCGATCTGCACACACAATATCAGTTCCCGTGACATCAAAGTTTGTAGCGGGTTCTTGCGTGTTTATCGCACTGTAGAACACAAATTGCCGTGTCCATGATCTGTGGTATCAGTTCTCGTTTTACGTGGTCCGTAGCACAAGGGCCCCGGTGCTTATCACTCATTTTTGATCACATCTCGCTGTTGCATTCTCAAAGATTGCCCACCCCATCATTTCCGCCATTTGTCTCTTCGTTTTGGGTTGGCATTCTCACGAGATTTTACGGTACATTATACCCTGGGATGCCTGTCAACAGCGCAAGTTTTCCACCATCGGTCTTGCTCGACACATTCAGCCATTACGGCACCCAGCCACCCTCTCGATTGAAATAGACCCACTTGGACCCTTCCCTAAGAACACACACGACAAACCCTTAGGTGTGATCGCCATCAACCACCTTTCACGATATGTGGAGGCCCTCCAGCATGGCAAATATGGAATAAGTCGCATCCTTCATTTTCCACAATATTGGTCTACGTCACAGATCCCCCTGAAAACTTGAAAGTCTTTCTGTCATCCGTAGTACAACATTGCCTAACCATCCTCAGACCAATGGCATGACGGAACGACATAACCATACACTTTACTCGATGCATATTCACAGGATGGGCAAAACTGGGGAGTTCCCTCGGTGACCTATGTGTATAACACCAGACTCCACAAGACTCTCCAACCTACATGATTCACAGACAAACATACTTTCCCCGACACAATCCTCGGTTGTATCAACCTTCAACTCTAAAGACGCCTTCCCCAAAAATGCTGCATCCTTGGCCGACGTTGCACAGGGAAAGCAGGTACTGACCAGCCGACACAATGCCACGTGACATACCAAATCGCATCTCCATCTAGTTTCCCGTTTGCTATGTCAGTATTCATGTCGCTTGCCTGCAATAAGGCTCCTCCGCGGGCAGGGCTTGAGGAGCTCTCTCAATGGAGCGACCGTTTCCCGCTCCAACCGCCGCTCCGTTAAAAGAGCTCTGCAAGCCTGGCCCACGGAGGTGGCAGATTGCCAGCCAGTGATATCGATACCACTAGGTCGGCCACTCTACCAAACTTTCGTCGCGCTATTTCAGGCTGCATCGGATGACTCGTCGAACATCTGACGTAAATTACCAAGTGGAACATTCTCCATGACCCGGAACACTGACATTGTCCTTGCATCTAAGATATCATAATACCTAGATCTCACTTTCTTTAACTAGGCTGGCCACTCTCCCAAACTTTTGCTGACTATTTAGGGCCGTATTGGATCACTCGTGGAACATCCAACATAAATTACCAAGTGGAACATTCTCAGTGGCCCGGAACACTGACATTGTCCACGCATTTGGGATGATATCGTACATACTTGGATCTCACTTCTGTAGTCATGCAACTCGCTTTTCGGGAACAGGAGGTGGTGGGGGGGGGGGGGGGGACTTGTTTGACAAATTCACTGGCCGCCATATTTGAGGTGACTGCTCACAGCACACTCTATAGGGATGAGTTGTTATTTATGGTCTCGCAAAGAATACAATCTTGATGGTCTACAATGTGTGTGTTGGAAGCGGTGTGGAAGCTTGTCGTCAGCTTGCTCAGCAGCAGCGAGCTCAGCTATGAACGCGAGTGAATACCACCTACAGAGGAGGAAGAGGATCGTATTGGACGCCTTTGTCTTACTTCAATATCGCATATTCGCTTTGGGTCCCTCGAGTGTGGCGTTCTGTGCTTCGGGGAACCTAAGGCGTCGGTACTCCAAAACTCTCAACGTTTTTCTTCTTTTTTTTTTTTAAATAAATTTGAGCTGCGAGTGCGCCAATTGTCTCGTGCAAAGTGTCTTTGGAACGCGTCGTTTCCAAGTCCGGCAAGAGCGGCTCGAGAGACTCACTGCTCTTCCTCGGTGTCGTCGTTGGACGTGCACCACTTGAGGAAGACCTTGAGCAGCATGTTGAGTCGCCGGTCGTCCCCCATGCCGTCGCCGTCGATGAGCAGCTTCCTACGGATCACCTCCTCTGCGAGCAGATCAGTGTGAGGACTTCCCTTCGGTCGGGCTCCAAACTCATCTTTCTTCGAGATGAAGAGCGACATCGCGAATACAGCCTTCTAAAGCACTGTAAGCGCGAGCCTCCCGCACTTCGGATACTCGCCGAGACTCCATACCTTCGGATATCATCGTTTCGCTGTGGTTTCGCTCAGCGCGGTGAACAGCCTGCGCGACTGCGCCCTGCGTGTAGCAAACGCACGCAGTCCTGTTTTGGCTTTGGATTGTGTTGGATATCACCAATGCCACCGCCACCGGATGCGTCGAGTGAAGTTAGATGGATGTTAATGGCTATAGGGCGGTAGCTTGCGTCATCTAGGCTAAGTCTAAAAAGACAAACTTATGATTCGTTCCGCCCTGGTCCCGCCCTTCGATCAACTCGCACTGGAACAGCCCTAAAACCAGGAAAGTGCACAGCGTTCCTCGGTCGTGCAGCGCGAAGTTGGTGCAATATCGAGGACGAACTCCGCCGCGCCGGTAAAGCACTGGATGGAAATATTATTCAGTGCTTTACGCGAGTAGTTGCCTCACCGGCGTAAGCTACCGCCCGATCCAAAGGGCTCAGCCGTATTCATCCATCCATCCATCCATCCATTCATCAGGCTGCTTCAAATTGGTTGGTTTCAGTTTGAACGTGCACGCGGTTATGTTGCTGTTTTACGTGGTTTTTGCTTAATTTGGTGATACAATTACTTTTCTTGTAGCACACAACCAATGAAACAGTGATATTGAACCACTTTGAGGAACCCACAAAGCCATCGTGTCTGCTGGCAAGAAAAAACCGGTTGTGACACATTTATTACAAACTTTTATCATCGCTTTATGGAACTGACACCATAGAATCAAATCTTCATGATTAGATATTGAGGAGACACGTTGCTTACAAAAAATTGCTTTTGTATCGGTCAAATTCTAAGCTCACGTCGAGCCCCCATGCATTTGTCCGTCACAATTAACTACCATGGAAACGGCTTGTTTGGAGCACAGCGCCATGTTGCGACGTCATCATTTACAGGATGCTGCAGAAACTGCCCACAATGATGCTTGGAAGAGTGACATTAGTCACTTCAATCATGTCGTCACTATCTCAGCAGCATGCCCTTGGTGGATGTGTCATCTCACGTGACACGTGACAGCATCATTGTGAGCAGGACTAGCAACATTCTTTTTGCTCGCAATTTTTAAATTGGGCGATAAAACGTGAAAATTGATCTATATCTCAAGAACCATTATCTTTTTACAAAGATTTATATTGCTCTGGCCTCCAATAGTAACTCCCGTCAGTACTGCAACTGCAACACCACCTTGATGAAAAATTGCACACAGAGAGACAAGGACAAACTATGTTCCTTTCTGAACATAGATGGAGTGTACTCGAAAGGACGAGTGGGGCCACCGGAATGGTTTTTCTGCACCTCTGCATGTGGAAAAAAAAAAAACGGCCAATTCAACCACTTCGCTCGTAGCGCCACCTCGGGCGCGCTACGAGCGAAGTGGTTCGGATTAGCCTTTACTCTTTATTTGTTTGGCTCTGGAGAGCCGCAGCACCGTGGAAAGGCAGTAAGTAGCCTGTACCACGGAGTCCCACGGTGCCGCGTCTAGTGAACATGATAATGCGATGAGTATATACATGCATTAGCCGTTTTTTGTGAAAAACGCTTTGCGTTTTAACGCCAAGCTTGACCGGCATAGTAGTCAAGGTCATAGAAACAATAAAACGCCATGGCTACATTTTTTAGACATCCTAGACATCACGTCAGTGCATAACGTCACCGCGACCCGACTTGTCATCACACCATGCGACATCACGAGGACAACCTCACGTCAACGTCGTCATCGATGCTGACAATACGCGTTACACGACATCGAGACGGCGTTCCGACATCATATTGCATCGATAATGACGTCGATGTCAACATTGACGTTGTTGACGACGACGACGTCAAGATAATGGCGTCTATTGTCAATGCGACATCATAAAAACGCTGGGTGTCAGGTCGTCGTCGTCGTTGTCGACATGACGCAACCCATTGTCACGACGACTTCACGGCGTCGACGTAGATGTCATCGTCGATGATGGCGACGTTACACAATGTCAAGATTTCGTCGTGACGGCGCGTTGACGAAGTCTTGACGTGGTGCCCTCCGACGTCAAAATCATAAAAAGTACAAAATAACTGAGCTCACTTTGATCGCAGCAAAGGTGGCGCTGCGATCAAAGTGGCTTGGTTCCACCTGATTGCTTTCAACATTTTGAGGTGCAACTGAAAGCATGACTGGAGACTAGCTTGTCCCACTGTCGTTTCTAGTTTGCTCTAACATAGACTAATGCGCTTGTCTTTATTCTCCGTTTCTTCCTCTTTTGTCCTTGTCTCATTATGTGACATTTTTTATCATGTTCAATGTTTACGAACTCGCCCAGCATACCACCTTACTGCAACATGACCCCTAAAACTAATTATTAAAAATTTAGTTAACAGAATTTAGTAATTATTCAACTTCACAAGATGATGACCTTTTCGTCTTGTGTGTGCCAAGCCTGGTAAATACACTATGAACATGGCACCCCCAACTCTCACCCCAGTTTAAAAGAACATCCGTCCGAATTAAAATGAAACGGTCCACATATCGACAAATCCTGGAAACTAACTCCAGGGCTGGTTTGTTCAAAGTTGGAAAAAACTGAAAAACCACAGATTGGCACTGTCCTGGAATAAGAAAAGCTCGTGTGAAGAACTCTTTATCTACAGTTTTTTGTCGACCCAAAACACTGTCCACGCCGTCCACCAGACTTTTTGGTGGGTCAAACCCTCGTTTCCTTCTCTTATTGTTTAGGGTGCCCTAAGTCACCAGACTCGATTAAAATGTACTGTAAAAATCGACGCCTGCATGTAGCAATCTAAACTTTTTGTCAAAGGTGTAATTCACAGGTCGGTGTTTTCTTGTAAAATTACAAAGCATAGCTTTTTGTGTAAAAAATAGGGCCAAGAAACTTTGCAGGCTCTACGGCGGGCGGCGACGCAGACGACCGAGTCGAGTTGCGGGGTGCGTTTGGCACGCGTATTGATAGATGGAGTTTGGAGCAGCGTCCGAAAGTTTAGCCGACCAGCGAAAGAAAGCAGACGACATGCCGACGAAATCCGTTGGCAGCAAACGCGCCATCACCATGCAAACGCGTTTTTTTCCTTTAAGTTTTGCTTTTATTGTCTGCATTTCTTTTTTTAACCAAAGGTACATTACAAAAGATTATGTTCATCTGAATAAACCAAGATGGTCGCGAGCAGTCTTGTTAAGAAGATAGCGCCATCTATTAATACGAGCGCCAAACCTGCACCGCTACTCGACTTGGTCGTCTGTGTCGTCGCCTGCCCTTGACCCTGTCAAGCTTCTTGGCACTACTTTTTACAGAAAAAGAGCTACGCTTTGTAATTTTACGAGAAAAAACAGACCCGCGAAATTCACCTTTGACGAAAAGTTTAAATTGCTACGTGCAGGCATAGATTATTATGGTCCATTTTAAATTGAGCCTGGCGACTTGGGACACCCTAAATGTTTCCTGAAAGTTGGGGAATCCAAGCCTTCTTCCGGCGGTGATAAATGTCCATCATCTTTTACTGCACCACAGGCCAAATCTATGGGAAGGAATAAACCCCAGAAAAGCGCTCCCAAATTCAAAGGAGGAAAACCTTGAAAACTCGTTCAGGATGTTCTGGATGGGCACGACTGCAAGCCGACCCGGCCAGTGCAGTGCATCAATCAACAGGTGGCAGGCAAACAAATATAATTTCCTGAAAAGTTATATTGTTACCAACTTGAGGACTATGCAGAGAGCAAGTCGTCTGTTTCTTACGCAGGGGTTACGGTGACGTCAGAGTGATGCCAAGTTTCGATTGGCTTCGATTGGAAGGATAGTGGGTAGACCTCAATGCTAGACGCCTTGAGGTCTACCCACCATTTTGTTTTCAATAATTTAATGACAGCTCGGCATTATGACATTAGTTGCCACCCCTGTGCAAGAAGCAGACAAACTTGCGCTCGCATTGAGAGCGTGTGACACCTAAAAAGGTCTGGCCGCTCCGCCTTGGCACTGGTGGGCTGCGCCAAGCAACAATGGTGTCTGCACCGCATGGTGAAGCTCTGCCCGCTCCTACCTCTTCCAATATGCCTGCAGCGTCTTAGACACGTCTGCAGCTTCCCGTGTTTCTCCATCTCGCTCGGAGGTAGCACATTTGAACCCACGCCCAGTGTTACTTCGTTCATTCGACCAAGAGTTGCTCGGATTCAGTTGCGAGCAACAATGATCACACCAGCATATTTACTCGTGCTGCGGTTGCGTGTTTGATAGAAGTCGCTATGGGACGATGTTTGCCAGTGTCCCTGGTTGACAGAGCCTTCCTCTTATTATTAGATTGCTCTTTGCTCTCTGGCGGATCGAGTAGATGTACTGGGACCGAGATGATCACAGCAGCTTTTGCCCGTGCACCAAGGGGATCCGTGTTCTCAATTTTAGGGCGTTGAGCAAAAAATGCTAGTGCCAAATGTGGCTCTGGACGTTCTGTAAACACCAACACGGTATTTCCAAACAAGCCCACTTTGCCCACATCAGGTGTAAGCACTGCGCGTGCACAGAAACCGAATTCGGAAGGAGTGAAGCGCACGGGCAATACCGACAGCAGCACCACCGCAGTGGCGCGACGTCAGTGAGTTGAGTTGGTCTATAGCGCTCAGGTAAACCGACACTGATCAGACACTAAGGTAGACTGCTATGCACAATGTCTATGTAAAATGCTTCTGCTGGGAAGTGCACTGTGGCACCAATGTCTCGTTGCGTGTGGAGTAACTGTATATGCACTGCTTAGTATCACAATGGTGCTCACAGGGCGGCCATGTTGGATCCAAGCTGCAGTGCGGGAAGGGACCATCGCTTGTGCGGGAGACTTGGAGGCACGACCGTGAGGCGGCGTGTCATGGTGTGTGGAGTAGAGAAAATATAGTGCTGCAACACGCCGCGCGTGTGGAGTCATCCCGTCATTTGTCTTCTGTACCTCTCTATGCCCTCGATACAACGTAGTAGCTAACGAAAACGTTGTCCCTTCATAGGCATAGCTACGCGTTGTCCGGTCCGAGGTACCCGGATGTACCGGTCGTGTATCACTCCCCGAGCGTCGCAGATGCAATCGTCCTCCGTGCCGTCTGCTTCCCAGACTTTGGAAACATGTTTTAAAACATTGCTCACGTTATAAAACAGTGCAATTATACTGTACCTCGTGGCTAGACATAATGTTCAATGGTCAAGGAACCTTCCAATAGCGTAACCATTAAGTTTGTTAAATTTTCCCTTCATAGGTACATATTCTCTTCAAGAGCGCTCTCTGGAGATACAAAGCATGTGACATTCTGTTGCAAATAGGTTATTTTTTTTACAAGTTACGCGGTGCTCTTTGTATAATGTTTGTGTCATGTAATGGTTCTTTGCGCCGTAGAAATGCGATCGGACGAAGATAATGCTTGGTGGTGGTCTAATGCAGTCAACAAATCTTGAGAGAAGTACGTAAATGCAGAGGCCCAAAAAGCTTTCATGAATTCAACATCAAATGGAGAGTGAGTTGCCAGGCACACATCTCCACTTTTTCTAAAGTTGCAATTGCATATTAATTGATGGCAAACAAATAAAACAGAGCAGAGGGTGCCACAGTCAACAAGGATGGACCTTCTGTGCAATTCTTTGCATAGTACGCAAGGAAATCGCGGTGGCAGAACGACGACCTTGTCTCATCACCCGTCTCATCTCAAGGGAAGCTCTCCTGTCGCCCGAAGCCGATTATACTATCCCTTCAAACCACTATAGCCTTGGTGAACAACGCAGCCTCTACGCTCCCGTGTCCAGCAGTTGCCAAGTACGAAGGCTGATGTGTGTCGAATTCTTGTCCTCCGACGGCCGTTTTGGGGAGGGTCACTCTTATCCGGCCTGACGTCTCCCACCAATGGCACTCCATTTATTGTCAATGTTTTACGTTACAATAAGTAGCAGTCAGTGCATTCCTATGCACCGACTGCTACTTATTGTAAGCCGGCCATATCGCGCCTGTGCAAGCGGTTCCTCATGTCTGCCTGTATTACTGTGGGGGGTTATTTTTGTGCTTTGCCAATGCCTGGAACGTGTACTTTGTCGCGTCCAGGGGCCTCTGGACACATTCCTTTTTCGGATCCACAGTATTCAGAAAAATCAGAAGCTAAACCCAATTTACAAGAGCAGAAGCGACGGATCAAGCTAGAATTCAGATGGTCCTTTTTTGACGTAGCGGCACACCACACATGACTAGCCAATGACGTACTGCTGCAGCGATCGCTTTTGTTTTTCTTGCATTTAGCGATTATTTTGAGTCAAATGGTTGCGATATTTGGACTCAGCAGGCACAAACACGTCAGATTCGACCACCAACTCATTTTTTTCTAAAGCTCTTCAGCTTCCTTTTAAATCGTCCTAAAATATTTGTATTTTCTAACACTGGCGTGCACCCACACCTGCTGCAGTGGACCGCTAGATTGTTCTGCTTTTTTGTGTGCTTATTATTTTAACACAAACCACTACCCACGAGCCCAGCATTCAACCCTGGTGGATTGTACTATCTTGGCATATTCGGCCATCTCGGGTAGGGCAGACCAGAAGGGGAGGCCCGACGAGAAGGGTAATCCCGCGGTTCGACTGGCAAAGCGGGGCATGGCCTGCCAGTGCCCTCTCACCGCTCTCCCGGCTGCCCTCCAAGAGAGCGCGCTGGCGTCTCACAGACAGTGCCTCGGAGGCCAGGTTGCAGGACTGCCTCCCCCTTTGGGCCTGCTCTGTCGCGGGGCACCGGAGGTCCAAGATATGTTTCGCCCGTAAAAGGATTCAAGACATGTCGAGGGCCTTTCTGTCCAATATTACAGCAAAGCTGTTTATGGCTAGGGTTCGCGGATTTTTCATGTGCGTTAACAAAAACTCTACGCTCGCACCACCGCACGTGAACGCCTTCCCCGTATAAAAGATTTAAAGTAAGTAACCAAAATAAAGCGTTGACAAACACACGTTCAAGATGCCATTTGTTTTAGGCTTTTGCTTTAGAACAGTTACTGCTGCAGACGCCAGCACGTGGAAGACCATTCCCTGCATTCTCCTTGATGCTTGGGTAATTTAGCAGCAGGTCTATTCAGAAGATTAGTTATCAATAGGCACCATTTTCAAGACCAGTAGACTCTCGGGTAGATAATAAAGGTTTCTCAAAGATTTGCCGCTATGCGACCCGCGTCGGCCATGTCTACGCTCACACCGCCTTCTCTGTGTCGTTGTTCCAAGCGCTTGCGTGCCTAGTGTCCCTTTCTTCCGCTCTCCCGCGGTGGCGGTCCCGTCGCACGTGTCTACATTGCGCCGGCTCCTTAGGGAGGTGATAGTCATCCACGCGAAATAATGACGACCGATCAAGACAGTAAATGTGTTCGTACCTTTGTTCATCATTCTGTGTCACGTCTGTGTCATGTGCTAAACAACTTCGCTGGTCATCTACCTTCACAGAGTGGAATAGCTTATGATTTTTAAAGCGCAGTTCTTAGGCGCCTGTTTCTGGCTTGAGCGGCATCGCCGTCGCTGTCGGCGTAACTGCGCATTGCATTATGGGAAACGTTTCATAATGCAACGCGCGGGTCTCGCTCGTCACTCGTATGTAGCATTATGGGACGTTTCCCATAATGACGTCACACGTGACGTCACGAGGGTCACGTGCGACGTCAAAAGGGTCACGAGGGTCCCGCGCGTTGCATTATGAAAAAAGTCCCATGATGCAATGCGCAGGTCAGCGGCGGCAACGCCGTCAGCGTAATTGCGCGTTGCATTATGGGAAACGTCCCATAATGCAACGCACGGGTTTCACTCGTGACCTGCGCGTTGCATTATGGGACGTTTCCCATGACGTCGCATCTGATGTCTCGAAGGTCCCATGCGTTGCATTATGGAAAACATCCCATGATGCAATGCGCGGGTCATTCGTGACTTGCGCGTTGCATCATGCGACGTTTCCAATAATTATGTCACACGTGACGTCACGAAGGTTGCTCGTGATCACAACGAAGGTCACAACCGTCACAGTGGAGGTAAAGACCTTCACGAGTGACATCTTGAGGGTCACGAGGGAGGAGGAAGGGAGGGCAAGGAAGGGAGGGGGAGGAGGAAGGGAGGAGAATGAGGAGGAAGAGGGAGGAGGAGAGGGTACAGAGGAGGGGCATATCCTCCTCTCTGTACCCTTCCCTCCTCCTCCTCACAAGCTGTGCTCCAATTGGCATTACAGGGAGTTGTAAATGTCTTTCATTTTTTCCTTCCAGATATTTAAGACCAATTGATCGATGCCAAATGGGTTTCTTGCCCATTTACCGGCGAGTTGAGCGGCACACGTGAGACAAGATCCATCGGCGTTGCTTTATTCCTCCCGGGCGGCACCCGAGTCTGGCGGCCCGGTTCTCAGGTACCACCGTGGCGCACTTGACCGCTGCGGGTGCCACAATGCTCCCCACGCACTCCCTCTTGAGGGAGCGACTGTCCTTCTGGAAGGTGGCAAAATCCCACGGTCTTCCACGCAAAAGGAAAAAGAAGACGTCCAAAAAGCGGAGAAAGTAATAATAAAAAAAAAAAGTTTGTGGAGCCAAAAATGCGGCACATGTTAAGAGTAGCGGTCCTTTTCTCCACCTTTGGCCTTTCTAGTTTTCCGAGCCGTCTCGGAGTCTGTCCCGTATGATACAACACTCACTGTACACAAATCACAGAGCGACGGAAATCCCGCGGCCGATGAACCGGGGCACGAGACGTCCGGGCGTGGGAAGGAAAACAAGGACAGGGAGAATGTGGCAAGTCTGCCGTCCCTCTTCCCGTGCCAGAACCAAATTCCTTCCGTCTCCACCAAGCAGACGCACCGACGAGATGGAAGCACCTGTCTCTCGCGCACCCCGAGGACGAAGCAGTTTGTGCAGAAGAACGGGGACGACTCGCTCGAGGGCAGTCTGCCGTCCGCCTCTTGCGCAGCGTCCAGAGGGCTCAGAAGTTGCCCGTGGTAGAGAAGAAGGGGAAGGCCCCAAACTGGCTCGGGGTCTTGGGGGACGCGCACACGTACAGGAAGTCCTCCGACTGCAAGTGTGTCCGGTTTAGGGTGGGCTCCGACGTGCTCCGGTGGATCTTGGGCAGCGATCGCATCAGGGACTCCAGCGACGCCAGCATCTGCGAACACGGAATGGCGATCAGTGCGCGCTCCCGGGCCCCGCTTGTCGCCAGGGCCGGAGTCTGAAGGGACCTCCTAGTTAGCTAGCCTACGGGGGTGCTTCGGCGCGTGCCCGTTGTACGAGCTAGAACGATGCCAGTCCAACGAAAAAAGGGCCGTACTGTGATTGAAACGGCGTACCACACTTGCTCCAATGTACGTCGTCCTTGCGCTTCTGCACCATTATTTAAAAAGAGGCGTCGCCTGTCCAATGTTTCGAGTCCCTCCAGCCTATCGGGATGCTTTGCTGTGGTCAAGCTCGACGTGACCGGCGCCGACGAGTACGTGAGGAGTGACGAAGACCTTAGTGTTGTATTTGACTGCAACTGGGAGTCCATGCCACTACTCTTAAAGCGAGACCGTGGCTAACGCGGGCTCCAGGGTTCTACCGAGCGTCCAGACTATTCGACCCATTTTGTGAGCCTGATCCCTCGATTGTTTCTCGGAATCTCAGTTGCTCCCGTTTCCTTTCACAACCTTGCGCTTCCCACGAAATAACTGTCGTGCAAATAAAGAACATCATTATTAAAGCCCTCATTATTGCCAAAACTTTTTCCGTTCTTTCGCGCTTTTCCAGACTAAGTTAGCGGGACAATTGATGTCACGTGATCTATTCACAACTCCAACGCCGTTTAGACGGCGGGGCGGTAGTCCCAAGAAGGCGGAAGAGAAGGGGGTGATTCTCCAGGATTTCCTACGCGCCTGCTTGCTGCCGCTAGTCGGTGCGCTAAAATTAATTTGTCTGGCTACAAACGCGACGGGCAATAGCATATCACAAATAATAAAGATGTTGACAAGCGTTAAAAAAATGAGCATGGTCATTTTTCAAAGAAGTGGAACACAATTTGTGTAAGTGGTGCAGCCAGAAATTGTTTTGAGGGGTCACAATGCGCATGTTTATTACAGGATCGGCTGAATTTCAAAAAGGGCTGAACCTGGCTACATCAAGATTCCTATTTCAACACACTCATTTTTACAGCGGAGCTGTTAAGGGCTAGTTTCCCCAGGATTGTGTCCACCAGCAAATAAATCTCGACACAACACTCTGGACAGCTACCGCCATCTATGAGCAACGGCGACAACCTTTCGAGCCTTTCCACTCTGGCTTGCCGACTTGCGGCCGGTCATTACTTCATTCCCACCATAGTACAGCTTCGCTGATCTTCCTTCTTCACCAGAGTGGGAAGGCTGAAAGTTTTCTGATAAGTGCACAATGCACCAACACACAAACCAGAACCATGCAGCAGCACCATGGCTGAACTCTGTCTCCACTCCTCTGGTTTGTTCATCCGCGACAGTGGTGGGATGGAGTTGCAAATATACCAATTGAGTTTCCCCGCTACACCTAGTGGAGAATTCGTGGCATGTGATTTAAACACAGATTCCTTTTTCTCGCTAAATTTAGAGGGGAAACTGATGTCACGTAACTTGAGATAACTTGACCTATACACCAATTTAGCTCCCTCGCTAAATTTAGCGGCAAAATTGATGTTACGTGACCGTCTTCAGACCCAGCACAAATTGCACATACCGTAAAATACCGCAAAAGCGCCCACTATTCACATTTCCCTAACTTGGAAATTCTACAAATTATACGTTAAGCACCCGATTTGACCAAAGAAATGCCCATGTCTAGGTTATCCCAGTTTTCAGTGAAAGCGGGGTGCTCACCCGGTATTTTACGGTAGTTACCTTTAAGAACAATGTGATTGTAGGTAATTAAGTGTATAGCAAAGGGAAGTCAGAAAAAAAAAAATTCCAGCCGTAAGTGGGATACTTTTTTTTAGGAGGATGCTCATTTTATTGCGGATGGTCATAAAAACAGTTCGTAGGAAAGAATTGAAAGGGCACTCACAAAGTGCCTAGTTCTAATTTTCCAACTTCTTATAAATCAATTTGAAGTCACAATCATCACAAACTCAACAAAATAGAGTAAACTCGAGACGCATACTGAATCGAGCAAATAAAATGTCAAACCTTTGCCATTTTTGAAGGTAAAGAGAGCACTCTGAGGCCATACAGGGTGTCCAGCAAATTATTATTTTGAAATTCCCTGACTTTTCCAGATTTTCCCTGACAATATCAGGTCAAATTCCCTGACCACTGTAGGGGTGGTTAAATATACAAGACCATTACAACACAAGGCATTGAGCATTGAGAGGATAATTTTGCACGGGCTTAATCCAACTTGCATATTCCGAAATATTCGGGTTCGTTTAGTCCGGATTAATTGAGCACTTTCTTGCCGCCGCCATCGTCAGTGAAGAGGCCGCTTCCGGAAACACGACGAAAACACGACGCTCAGCCGCACACGTCAATAAACAAATAGAAGCATGGCCGCCAGATGCACAATTTCAGATACTTTCGGCTTAAGGCTTGGATTGGATTGCAGTTTGCGGCTTCCCCATTTGTTACTAAATCTAGTAGCTCTAACTGGATCTAGTCTAGTGTCGCGCACTCAATCCAATCCAAAGCTTGGACTGGATTTGTTGGCTGTTCCCTTTCCATCGGGTAGCACGCCCTACATCGGGTGAGCAGAGCCCGCGCTTCTCTCTAAGCAGAATTTATTGCCCATTTTTCTGCCCCCAAGTCTTCAAGTCTTTGCTCAGGGCACTCAATGGCGTTTCCGGCTCATTTTCCCTGACTGGGCTCGCTTTTTGAATATATCTCTGAACATTCCCTGATTTTTGCCAGTAATTAAAATTTCCCTGACAATTCCCGGTTTTCCCGGTTGCTAGACACCCTGTCATAGCTCGTAAAACTGTCCCCAGATGACTGTCCAAGTTGTGCGCTACTAGAGCCTCTCGATGTGTTTGTGTTTGACATGTATAGCATCACATGTGCCAATGCGCAAGACCCATGTGGCCATCAGAAGCAAACGGCCCCGCAGCACTCGCTCGTGGCACGTGTCTCGTACATTCGCGCTACAATGATGGCGATTCTTGCTAGGAATGCGAAGCTAGAATTTTATCGATTTTGATGCGCTACAATTGCGATTTGGCCTCAGCTCGTGAAATTTCCTATTTTTAGGAAAAACTGAGAACGAATGTGCGTTATAATGTACGTGGGATCTGAAGAAGAGATTGATAAAAATATAGGTTCTTCTTCATTCTCAAAATGACCGTTTAACATCTTCTAAACAAAATGAAACGACTGTGCCTTAAATACTGCGTTCCACAGATTATAAGACTTTAGAGGTAAGGGCGCGCTTCTCGCCCTCCGACGCTTTGATTAGCTACGGTCAAGGAGACTCGTTCCAAGGACGGCCCCCACCTGGCGGAAAAGCGGGCGCTCGTCCCTGTTGAACTTGATGCAGTCCTCGGTGAAGCGGATCAGGGCCTTGGGGGTGTCCTTGCGGGCAATGCTCAGGTCTGGCCGCAGCAGCCCGTGCCCCACCATGAACAGGATCTGCGGGTGGGGGCTCAGGGGCCTTTGCTCTGCCGCGCAACATGCCGTCCTATTCTACACACACGTTCGATCCCCCAATCAACGAAAAGAGACGGCGTCGGACGTCGCTACCCCGGCTATTTGTCGTACGACAGAAAGAATGAGGGAATGTGAGCGTTGCTGTCGTCGTCCCAGGGCTTTTAAGGACCGCCAAGCCGGGAAGTGACCCGACGGGGCGTCTAGTGTGTCCACCTCTGCCGGCGTGGCCAGGACAGCGGCAGGAGAGAGCGCCCCACTTCCGCGACCGAGTGGAAATCAAGGTATTGCTTTCCGGGACACGGTACGTGCACCAATCAAAGATGCGCTCCAGCGGTCCAATTCCGATTGCAGCGAAATCTCATTCGCCTCTCGGGAGGCGAGTCGGAACAGAGTTTGTCCACTAATGAGAGCAAAGAACGTGGTTCGTTCTCTGCGAAGCGCTGTTTGCAGACGGCAATAAAGCGAGAAAACGTCGTACGTCATCTTTTAAACCGGAAGAAAAGTCGACCGCTCAAAGCCAATTGCCGCGGCAAAGTGAGATTGGACGCAGGGCGAAATTGTTATTGTCCGCTATATTACGTCGATGCCATGGACAACCCACGCTCGCAAATCTCACCTTGTTCTGCCGCTGTACACAAACCGATGTAGAACTGTGGAGTACTAAGGACAAGGACGCAGGAGGCTGGGAGACTTTTTTCACTATTCTTACGACGCCGAGACTTTCGCGCAAAAATATCGCCCGACTGCGGACTCGCTAACGGGCCAATGACGTCCGGTCGGTCGATTATACGCGAGCCGCGGCATCGAGTCCAGTCGGCAGACGGGAACGCTTGGGACTAAAATGGGAACCGTACGGCCGCGCGGGAAGGCGGTCGAGCGGGGTGCCCACCTGGTCCTTGTTGTTGATGTGGGCATAGGGCAGCTGGCCCGTGATCAGCTCGTACAGCACGATGCCAAAGGCGTACACATCCGACTGGAACGAGTACGGGTTCGGGTCCTTCATCCGGATCACCTCGGGGGCCTGCACAGCGGAGCACCACCCTTCCAGCAGCCGGGGAGACACACGGCGAGGAGGGAACGAGATGCCCGCGCACCGTCCCACGCCCCTCGTTCGCAGTGTCCTTCGTCTCTACCGCGCAACAACAGACGCACGAGCCAAAAGTTCGCAAACGCCGAGATACAGACTGACGGGGAATGTTCGAAACTCGACGCAAATACAAGTTTTGGAGGTAAATACAACCGAGAGTGAATACAGCGTCTGCCATGAAACAATGGGATGGAAATGTCTCCGAGATTTTGCGATTCACCGGTAGTACAGTTGTGTCTCGTTAATACAGATACCTTCCTCAAAAATAGCTCGTAACGCGAGTTGTACGTAGTAATGACACAAAAATGTGCATAGTTACCCGTTTCCTGCCCGAAAATAACTATTAAAAGCGTACAGACGAACCAGTCACTACCATAGTTGCCACCGGGGACTGCAAAGCTCAGTCTCGGCATGTCATATTTACGCTCAATAAAAACCAGCTCGTGTTCCAAAGAAACCGTTGAGACGAGAGGCAACCAGGCGACCTCGACAAACATTGGGGCAAGTTGGGCCAACCGCGTCGTGTCTGCATCGCCTCAATCTCAAACCACCGGTGCGGCCCCGGTGAGATGAGAGGAGCTCCATAGCGGACGGTCCAGCCAACTTGCGTGAGAAAACTCGGCAACGTGGGCCCCGCAAAATCTGCCGCGACCGTCTGCCTTGTAGCCCCGCAAAGCCAATTCTGAGGGAGTATGTTTACTCGGATGCACGGGGCTTTGTCTACGGAGACGAGCTGGACCAAGTGGAGGGCCGTTTTGAGACAAAGCACGATGCCAACGGAATACAGGCATTCTTAGTGTTAAAGAGATACTGAAAATTGTGCCTATTGCCTCGAGAAATAACACAATCAACAGCATCCACTAATGACAGTTGCACATTTATATTTTTAATTCTACCCTGGCAAACGCTCCGAGAGCAGTCGTCGGAGAGCGCGATGCATCCAGGGAGTTCCATGACATCAATTGTCTTGGGACAGGCAAGCTACGGCAATGCTTGGGCGCTCGGCGGCGTCAGTCTGTCGGAACCGAGAAGTACCCGAGGGCTGTGCTGGGCGAGCCAAGTCCCGAATCCTCTCGCCCCTTCTCTCCGTCTTCCTTCTCCAGCGTGGGAGAGAATCTGGCTGGGTTAAGTATGAGGCACGTTTTGTTGCCGTACCTCTGCGGAGCCACTTTTGGGGGACAATGCACATAACTATCCTCCACTTGAGAAGCCAAGTGCAATTTGCTAATTGTTCGATTCATTTTATATGAAAGGAAGAAAAGTTCTCTGTGCCATAGCCTAGGGGGCCAACACGGCTGTTGTTTTGGTGGCACACAAAGCAAGCGAGGGGAGGCACTTACCATCCACAGGATGGAGCCCGTGGGCTGGCTGAAGGGCTGCGACCCGCTCCAGCGAGCTTTGACCGTAGCCAGGCCGAAGTCACCAATCTTCACGGTCAGGTCGTCGTGTAGGAAGATGTCTGGGCACCGGATCAAGGATCATCTCGCCCTCGGTAGGTCCCCCCGCCCCCCTCTCCCGCAAAGAGCACGACAATTTCAAACAGTTCCTTTATTGTACTCTACAACGAGAAAAAAAACGCTAAACCAAGATGCCTCAAAGTCCCTCTGTTTGCGGTACCTTAAGCCGACGGCAAGCGGGGGAAATAAAAAGAGCAAAACAATTTGCCGCCGCAGCACAGTACACGCCAAGAGCTCGCGTCCCAAGACGCTCTTTTGCATGCTACAAAAAAAAAAAAAGTCTGTCTCGTCTTTCCAGACGAGACAGACTTTAAAAACTGTCGCATCAGTGATCGCCTCAATGGCACCGATGACGACACTACCTGCGGAAGTGAAGGCATCTCAGATGACAGCTTCAGTGACTGCAGCGATGAGCAAATGGTATTCAAAATAAAAGTATGGTTTCTAGTGGCACTTCTGCATTGTTTTGAGTGGCTAATTGTTAAGTTGAGGGGTCCACGCAGGGCCGAGTACTGTATTTACTCGCAGAATGAACACACTTTTTTTCCGAAAAATCAATGCAAAGTTGGGGGGGGGGGGGGGGGGGGGCGTTCATTATACGGAATAAAATTTTTGCGTCCATGTTTACTCGCGTAATGAACGGGCCTTTTATCCTGAAAAATCGAAGTAACTTGTTATCTCTTTGCGCGCAACCCCCAGTTCCTTGGTTTTTTTTTTTTTTTTTTGCTGTCTTTCGCAAGCTGTTTAGTTTGCTTAGGCGCCGGCTCTCTGCTTATCTTTCTTATCTCCTTGCGCGCGACCCCTAACCAAACTGCGCTGTGCAAAAAAAAAAAAAAAAAGAAGAAAAAATGTTTCTTTTTTTTTGTTTTCTCTTAGTTCTGTCAGTTTTTTCTTTTCTTTTTGCTGCCTTTCGCAAGCTGTTTCGTTCGCTTAGAGGCTTCTCCGCTTCTCTTTCTTACCTCCTTGCGCGCAGCCGCGGTGCGCGAACCCAAAGTCCAGACTGAGCTGTGCAAAAAGAAAAAAGCTCCTCTCCATGTTTTTTTTTTTCTTGCTTCCGTTGGATCTTTGCGAATTTTTTTCGTTTTGTTCACCCATGCTGCCAATGCACTCGCAACCTCGCTGCACCAGGATAAAAAAGTGCGTTCATTTCGCGCGCGTGGGGGTAGGGGGTCAAAATTTTGACGTCCGAGTTGGGGGTGCGTTTATTACGCGAGTGCAAAAAAAAAGTTTAAATTTTGAGAGCCGACCTGGGGAGTGCGTTCATTATGCGAGTGCGTTCATTGTGCGAGTAAATACGGTAATATGTGTGGAAATACAGTCAAGACTGGAGTGAAGGTGCCGAGTGAGGAGTGGGAGTCTCACAAGGAAGCCGTTTCTTGAACCCGCATAGGCGTGAAGAATGAATGTGACTGAAAAGTTTGATGCGTGTGTACAACGCAATGTCCCTCGTTTAGGTGCGTCTCTCTCTGCTGCGCTCTCGTCCTTTTGCGCCGTTGATCGTATAATGATGCGCCCCAGGACACGGTACGCTAGTGAGATGGGCCGACAGTTATTTGGACAATGTTTATCCCCTAATCTGCATGGGGGAGTCACCCTCCCAACCCACCGGGAACTAGCTGCGGAGACTGCAAAAAACGTTTAGTGAAAACGCGAGTCGGATGGATCGTTTTTTATTTGAAGGGATAGCAGAACTACCGTATTTACTCGCACAATGAACGCACTCGCGTAATGAACGCACCCCCCAAGTCGGCTCTCAAAATTTCGACTTTTTTTTTCACTCGCGTAATAAACGCACCCCCAACTCGGATGTCAAAATTTTGACCCCTCCCCCAACGCGCGCAAAATGAACGCACTTTTCTATCCTGGTGCAGCGAGGTCACGAATACATGGGCAGCGTGGGCGAACAAAACGCCTTGTAAAAGGCCTTAAAACAATTCGCAAAGATCCAACGGAAGCAAGAAAAAAAAAAACATGGAGAGGAGCTTTTTTACTTTTGCACAGCGCAGTCTGGACTTTCGGTTCGCGAAGGAGGTAAGAAAGAGAAGCTTGCGAAAAGAGGCAAAAAAAACGGAATTAAGAGAAAACAAAAACAAAGAGGAGCTTTTTTTTTTTCTTTTTTTTTTTTTTGCGCAGCGCAGTTTGGTTAGGGGGGGGGGTCGCGCGCCGCGCGCAAGGAGGTAAGAAAGAGGAGCGGAGAAGCCCTCTAAGCAAACGAAACAGCTTGCGAAAGGCAGCAAAAAAAACCCACGGAACTGAAAAAAAAAAGAAAAAAATGTAGCTTTTTTTTTTTTTTTTTGCACAGCGCAGTTTGGTTACGGGGGGGGGGGGGGGGGGGGTTGTGCGTCGCGCGCAAGGAGATAAGAAAGATAAGCGGAGAGCCCTCGCCTAAGCAAACAAAACAGCTTGCGAAAGGTGGCAAAAAAAAAAAAAGAAGAAACCAAGGAACTAAGAGAAAAAGAAAACGAAGAGGATTTTTTTTTCTTTTGCACAGCTCAGTTTGGTTACGGGGTCGGGCGCCGCGCGCAAAGAGATAAGAAGTTACTTCAATTTTTCAGGATAAAAGGTCCGCTCATTATGCGAGTAAATACGGACGCAAAAATTTTACTTGGCGTAATGAACGCACCCCCCAACTTTGCATCGATTTTTCGGAAAAAAAAGTGCGTTCATTCTGCGAGTAAATACGGTATATGCTTTTGTACAGAGGCAGCGGGAGATGGTGCATTTTGTGCTTAAAAGTTCTAAACGAGTGATTGTAGGCGTCAAAGAATTACGTAAATTACCCACCTAAGTAAAATGTTAAAAATTACGAACCTTCGACGCCCGTCTGGTAACAAAAGGCGGCCGATTGGCGCAACATCCGACAGATAAAGGCGGGTAAGAGCGTGGGTGCAGACACCGATTTCCAATAGCAGAAAATGTCCGAGCCGAATGCATTCTGATGTAGTGGACGGTTTTGCCACGTTTACTAATGGACTCAAAGCCAACAAGAACGATTTTTTTGTCTGGCCATTTCGGCTATACGTCAACCGCTGCCGCCATCCCTCGACTGTAACGTCAACTGGACATTATTTCGTTTGCAGACGGCTGCCATGGGTAGCGAATTCCCGCTCTTGATTTGTCCCTCTCTACTCGGGCAAGATCATCCTTTTAAGTTTTGACACACGCAGCATCTTGGGCCATATCTGTAGAAAATCTTGGCTCGTCTTCCAAGGGCCAACGATCCATTTGACAGTACCTGGGGGCCCCCTCCAATCTATCATGGGCCCGACTGTTGCAGCCTCTGCGAGGCTAAGCACAACGGCATGCGCAAGCGCGTGGGCGGAAGTGGAGTTGGAGCACCGAGCTCTCGTGTCTCCACTGGGTCCAGGAGCAGAAAAGGATACTGTTCGTCTTAAGGTCTCTGTGGATGATGTTTTTTGCATGGAGGTAGCTGCAAAAAAGACAGTGCAAGCAGTTTAGCACAACAGAAGCACAGTGATGCTTACGCACACAATTAAACCTTTTTATTGAGCGCTTTAAGGCTGGCTTCCAATTCTAAGGCACCATAAAGCTGACTGACTCAAAACACGTTGTCTGTTGGCCTTCCTAACAAAAATCAAACAGCTCCACACAAGCTGACACGCACACACCACACATCAATCGGCTTAATGCAAAGTATTGAGGTAAGTTTCAAATATTTTAACAAGATTGATACAGTCACTTCTGCGAGCTAATGAGCATGTTAAGGATAAGCTGAACACAGTTGATAGTACCATATTCACCCACGCAATTATGGCATAATTAATATATCGTAACACCTTCTCTCCTTTCGATATTTGATTCTTTCGGGCCCATGTGCAGAAAACTGACATTCTTTAATTGTAGTAAAATTCTTATTAGATTACCTAGAAAATACAAAAAATACCCACAAACTGTGAATATTAATAACGAAAATAGCTCGTATTACCTAGATGCCGTAGCACCAGTTACCATCGTGGAAAGTCATTTGGGTCACTTATTAAAGAGGGCAATGATTTTAACGCCGAAAGAATTTGTGGCTCGTGTTTTTTATATCGCTTGTCTTGGCACAAGTGGAAGGAAACTTGCCTCATTACTAGTAACAGCGCGTAATAAACAAGGACAAAAGGACGCATAGAAAGACAAACACAGCACTGACAAACAACTTATGTTTCTTCTTGTACAGCTCAATATGAAGTAGGAGCACGGTACAAAGAAAACGAAAAAACACCCTCAAAATCTTGACTCATTGCACTGACAACATACAAAGAAGTATACAAGAATAAACCTGAGGTGTTAGTCAGCATTTGCCTTTCTGTGTGTCCTCTCCTTTGTTATGCGCTGTTGCTACTAGCACGAACTCTGAGCAACTCGGCCAAGCTTAACAAAAACGCCACCTTCTCGCACTGCAATTTAATTGCAAAGAATAAAAAAGGACTATTTTCCGCAGCTGTGTGTGGTGGACAGGAGGTCCTGCCCCAAGTCGGGGAAACCCTTCGTCCCTGCGACGCCTTCCTGGACCGCTGGATCCCTCAAGACCCAACGGGAAACCAGGAGGTACCCCACGTGACATCACTGCACACTCGCAAGATGTTGCAAGAGTTGCCACAAACTTGAACTTATTTCCTTACTAGCACAGGCAAGAAAATGTGCCATTCTTTCTGAATAGGTGACAGAGACTGATTCCAACACTTAATTGGCCAAGTTCCAAAGAAATGATTGCGCTGCTCCTTTGACATCTAAGAGAGGAAAGTTCCATATTTTGCGCAAAAGCTGCAACATTTAAAGAAGGCACTGGCACGCATCTTTACAAGTTTGAGAAACATTTTGAAATATCGTTACCTTAAGCAATGCGTATATGCTGTGCCTCTTTTGAGATTGTGCGGCACAAGACTCGTTTTTAATGTCTCTCTGCTTTTTGTGCCCAGCCGATTTCCACTGCTCCTTGTCAAATACCAACTAGCCTGCTCTTTCATACTAATTTTAAGGAAGAAATCGGCCATGCATGAATAATTTTTGTTTTTACGGCGCTGTTACGGGCTCTTCCCACTACTGCAAATGACGTCCATTGTAGTTGTAATGTTGTAATTGGCAAAACAGGGCGTACGGCAACCATTGCAATATCTGCTCGAAAGAAGATCGCCTGCCCTGGGAATCGAATCTGGGTCCACGGAGCTACGCCACCACACTGGCAAACCGCTTTATTGTACGGTTTCAAACGTGAGTATGAGTCTCAAGTACCTAGTGCCGCCCAGAGGGCCGCAGTTGCTGCCATGTCGCGATAGAATTTGTCATTCTTAATTAATTTCAAATTTAATCAGAGTTCATCGTTGAAATGATAAGCTTCGGCTAGGTGGAGCAAGCTGCCGCCCAATTGAAAGAGTTCAGCCGTATCCATCCATCCATACAACCTAGAGTCGTGGTTAGTGGATCCCTAGGCAGCGCCAAGCGGCGAGCCTTGATGAAAGTAAGGCGGCAGACGCGGGGGTCTTGGCTCGCCGCATGCTAGTGTTGCGCTCGTTGCGAGATGCTCGAAGATGCGCATCTCGTTGTTTGCCGCAGAGAGAACTGTGAGGTACACGAGAACAAACCCAATTGAACCAACGAGTTCGTCTCGACATATTGCAGCTATCGCACTTACTCTATCGTGGATTAACGCGGGACTGATACTTCTTTTACTAAGCTTAGATTCGGTTATGACCATAAGTACTGTCGCAAAAAGTGGGGACACCAAGGTGGATTTCGGGGTCATCTTTTTATGGTGCGAACTCCAATGTATGCACCCGAAACATCCTATAAAACCCAAAATTACAATCGTGCGTGGCCTTTTTCGCTTTTAAAGACTCGGCTCTTGCCAAATATGCTTTAACGAGCTTACGTCGTGTTTAGTGGTTCTCGGATGCCTTATTGGTTCGGTAGCAACCTTCGGTATTCGCAGAGGTAGGTGTACTTAACGTAACGTGAGCAATTGTTTTGCCATTGAATTCCATGTCAACCGAGGTATGCGTTACACACTTCCTTTCCTTGGGATCCCAGCCCTCGACCCGTTCTGCATTCGCCAAACGTCCCGAGGCACTCACTCCATGCCCTGCGCCGTCTGGCGGGCGATGTCGATGACCTGCAGCATCTCGAACTTGGACTCCAGGACGTGCAGGTGCTTGTAGAGGCTGGACCCCTCGCACCACTGGGTCACAATGGTCAGCTGGGGCCGGGACACGCAGCCCATGAACAGGATGATGCTCACGTGGCGCGTCTTCCTGCGGCAGCCAAAAACGGTCTCACGTCCACTGCCGGGGGACTATCGTAAACAGGCTGTCCAGCAAATTATTATTTTGAAATTCCCCGACTTTTCTAAGTTTTCCCTGACAATTTCAGGTGAAACTCCCTGACCACTGTAGAGGCAGTTAAATATATAAGATTGTTACAACACAAGGCACTGAGCATTGAACACTGTGAAGATCATTTTGCACGAGCCTAATCCAACTTGCATATTCCGAAATATTCGGGTTCGTCCAGTCCGGATTAAACGAGTACTTTCTTGCCGCCGACATCGTCAGTGAAGAGGCCACTTCTGGAAACACAATGAAAACATGATGCTCAACCACACGCCAATAACCAAATGGCAGCATGGCCACCAGATCAACACTTTCGGATACTTTCGGCTTAAGGCTTCGATTTGATTGGGGTATGTGACTTTCCCATTTGTTACTAAATCTAGTAGATCTAACTGGATCTAGCCTAGTATTGTGCCCTCAATCCAATCCAAGACTTGGACTGGATTTGTCAGCTGTTCCCTTTCCATCGGGTAGCACGCTCTACATCGGGTGAGCAGAGCCCGCGCTTCTCTCTAAGCAGAATTTATTGCCCATTTTTCTGCCCCCAAGTCCTTGCGTCTTTGCTCAGGGCATTCAATGGCGTTTCTGGCTCATTTTCCCTGACTGGGCTCGATCTTTCATAATATCCCTGACAATTCCCCAATTTTTCCCAGTAATTAAAATTTCCCTAACAATTCCCAGTTTTCCCAATCGCTAGACACCCTGGTAAAATATCGCCATAGCTGACCTCCAAATTTGATTGCGCCTGCTTTTCCAGCCTCTCCGTTGGCAACCTCTAGCAAGCGATGGGCAACCGCAGTAGGATGGGTAAATTGTGTCCGGCGGGCAAGACGTGCTCGGTGGTAGCTCGCTAAACCTGCGGTGGCAACATTGATGTTTGGTACCGCACCGTGTGCACCAAACATGCGTCACTGGCGCACATGAACCTTCCATGGTTATTTTATTTTCTCTAAGTGCCCATTCCTCGATTAAAAACAGAAAACCGTGTCAGTTGCTCTCATGCTCTTGATTACTACCATCAAAGGTGCTTCGATGGTATAGCGGTGTCAGTTTACGGCCACTGTACCATCGGTTTGGGCCTAATTTACGCATTTTACGCTGGACGTTGCCAGTTCGTTTGATTTTTATTAGTGCAAGAAATCGTTACCACTAGAAAATGGTACGCAAATTTAGGAGGTCAAGCGCGCTTATTCTAAAAGTTTTTGCGTTAATTTAAGGCAGTGTTTCTCAAATTGTGTGTGGCTATCCTGTGACAGGCTGTGTGTGGGGTCGTGAAGAGGTAACTTGATAAAAATTGCCAACGTGACTTTTTTGCAGTGGCGTCGATGAACGCAAAGTGCAGGTTGCAGCTCAATACCAAGCACAAACTGAGTGTCCCAACTCGGCCCTACTTTTGGCATTATGATGGCTCCTTTTAGCCCTGCTGTCGTGCGTCTTCGTTTTAGCAGTGGTTTCTAGCCCAGCTGATTCACCTTGACTGTATATAAACTGTCGAATAAAAAATAAGCATCAAATTTGTGCATTACTGTTTATGTAGAAAAGGCTCGAGGTACACCTAAGCACCTCTTACGAGTTGTGAAGGCGAAAGCATGCACATCATTTTTCCGGTTCCTTATTTATCAAGATTTATCTTGCGGAAATGCGGTTCCAACTTCTTACGATTAAGTACTAAGAGGAATTTTTTGCTCATTTGTTTTCAACTGGCTGACGTCTGGATCCCTGGCCGCAAAGCCTCAGGCAATCTGACGCCGACTCGACCTCACTTCGGCCGACTTGCTTAACCACTGATGGTTGAAGAATAACAATCCAGTCGCAGGTATTATAGCGGTTGGAATCGACCCCCGAGTTTTTTTCGCGCACTTCCGACTTGGGATACACAGGGAGATTAAAGAGAACAAAGGATTGCAAGGCCGACCAAGCGCGCTCATTGTTGCCAATCGAGTCGACAGAAACCGAAACCAAGACAAAATACAATTCTTTTGACGCGCGTTTTGCGATTTGGTGCATTAATGGTGTGAGGTATTGGCTGTGGTGCAGTTCCGCAAAATGGCGCAGGATGGCGCAGACAAATGTGTCTGGCGCAAAATGACGCAAATGGAGCAGCCGTTCCACCCCTGACTCCGCTTTTTTGGGATCGGGGAAACTAGGTGCCCTTGTCTAGGCGTTTCGCGTGGTTTTATAGCTGGGAGCTGGCTGCACTTGGAGAAAGGATTTTAGGTGCCGTTTGGCACGGCTTCAAAGCTGATGACGTCGGCTCGTTCCATGGGACACCTTTCACATTAAAAAAGTATTTTCATGGGCAGTCGCAACTTTTTTATGCTGTCCTGGCATTTTTTTTTTGACCGAAGAGCCGACCTTCGCCGGGATCCAAGTTTCCTAATCTTGCTCAATCCGAGCCCCAAATTGTTCCGCCTTGGAGCGATAAAATGCGGCCGAGAAAAATGACCCGTCACTCTACCTGAGATGCCAAAATCTAAGCGAAATCAGCAGAGTCGCACAGAATGAAAAGTGGCCCTTCTCTTTGCGCTGGACAGATGCGAAAAAGGGCTCAGTGGGCTCGGTTGTGCGCCTCTCCCTATCTTCGCTCCTCGTTGCACCGCACACTGCAGTTGTCGCGTGCTGAAAGCACAGCCGATTCTGCTACGGCAGCGCCGACGTGGACCGCTCCTACAAGAGCAGTCAGTGGAGGAGCTTCTAAAGCCTACTGCGAACGACACTTGCGCCCCCCACCCAATTTGGAACTGGCCAAATTCACACGGTCGGTGAACGCCTCACATTTGCTGCGTGATCAGGGGTCGGTAGTTTAGTGATTGTTGCGACTGACACCTTGACAAGTCAGTTAAGTTTGTTGTGTGGAAGTTTAGGCAGAGGGAAATTAGTCTTCCTAAAGAAGCACCTGGTATCTCGGCAGCAGATAACAAACTTTGCCACTCGCCTGGTGTCTTTAAATTGAGTCACGCAGTGGTGATTACAAGAATGCGTGCCGGTGCAATTTTCATTTAAAAAAAAAAAAAAAAGCGGTAATTGAGCCCCTCGCCCCCCGTGCTCCAAGCTCGTGGGGCTACTGTTTCGTAAAACACTTTGAATGTTGTGCAGGCACGTCGATATGAGGTAGCACAAAATGGGTTTCGCGCGATATATTTTTTGTGCTTGACTGCTACAACCAAGTTACTTGAACTACAAAAAATTTCGTCAATCTTACAGAGTTTGTTATAAAGGCGTTTGTATTAGAAAAAGCTTCAGAATCACAAAGGGAGTGCATTATCAGCCCGCGGCAACAGCCACAAAAATATACTTGCGACGCATCAATCATTCCAACAAACAATGTACTGTCGGTCGACGCCACATTTGCATAAAAGTTTGTAGATTTACCAACACTGTGGGCCCTCGGAACGGATTCCAAAAGAGAGAGAGAGGATGGGCCTCCGACCCGAGCCTCACCTGAGAACCGAGACCTCGTTCTTGAACGCTTGCAACTGGGCCGGCGTGGGGTTGGTCACGTTCAGCTTCTTCAATGCCACGTGACCTGCAACGGCGCCGAGAGGCCTTCAAAACCAGCTTTTCTCGCACTGCCCTCCTCCCCCCCGCACGGCAGCGGATGCTCTCCGCTCTACGAGGCGCATTGCAAAACACTGAGGTCCACGGGGAGCGCTGCCGATCTCGACCTTCTCGAGAAACTTTTTAAATGGCGGCAGCAAACCGTGTTGGAAACACGAGTCAATACCAGCTAAAAATGATTACGAAACATTTTATTCTGCGTCGCCCCGCGGCCGGACTGCGGCCATGGGTTGGGGAACGGCAGCGAGGCTCCGTCAGCGTCTTTGCAACCACGCACTGGGACGGTGGCGAGTACAGTCGCAGATGGCAGGGAAGGGCTTCGGTCGTCCGGCAGCATCTTCCCACCTTCCGAGGAGGCACCTCCCGCAATGTACGGCCACGTGTGCGACGCTATTAGCGGCGCACGCGGAGGAAAGGAGTTGAAAGCTTGTCGGCCCAGTTCTTTCTTTTGTCGTTGCTTTTGTTAAATCTCGGAATAATCGTTAAAACTTTCGTGAACGTGGCGTCATATGAAAGCGGCCGCACAGTGCCGCTCGGGAGAATCACCCTTCCATCGCCGATGCGAGACGCGCAATTTTTTCCCTAGGCACGAGCTTGTCTCTAGAAACCTTTACTTTTCGTTTTACGCTCATCCACTCCTTTTCACCGCCTTTTCTTGGGAGACGGTGCAAAGGCCAGAGGCACTGGCCAGAGATGCCTGACGAGAAAAAAGGCTTTGTGGAAGTGACGAGGTGGTCCGCGAAACTCTCCCGTAAAAACGTTTGGGGAAACTGCTCCGGGTCCAGGCGGCATATCACTCCGAGGCACCGGCGATGCGCCCAAACGCACGCGACGACGCACCGCTTGATTACCAGTGTTGGCTAGTCTTCCAACCAGCCCTGCAGTACGTACGGTGCCTAACACCGTTGGCGAGACAGTTTTCCCATTGCTTCCTTAGAATTCAAAGGCCATCCTCGAACCAACTGCTCGCAATGGAAACCGCTCACTCCGTGCACTAAGCTGAGAGGTACAATTCTGCGCTCACCAAGTGAATTAGTTTATTATCTCTCGGGGCCCGAACCCATTACAGAGAGGAGTGAGACAAAAAATATACGTGTATAACGACAAACCAGGCTAAAAATAGGAACAATGGCTAAGGAACAACGAGAAAATTAGTAATTGCAATTTTAAAATCAGCAGCATCAGCTATTGAGACTAAGGTGATTCCAATCTATTCAGGCTTAAGGAAGAAAAGAGGCGTTAAATGAGGAGGTGTTACAACGGGGGATGCCTACCTTTAACTGCTGCTTTGTTCCTGATGATAATGTAAGATGAAATGACGTCTCACAAAGTGTGAGACTAGAGTGATAAATCTTGCCAAAAAGATATAAACTAGATAATTTCCTACGAAAGCAAAGGTTAGGTAAAGATAAAGGTGCTTTCATAGAGGTGATGCTGGCTGTGGGATGATAGTTTGAAAGAATGAAACGAGCAGAACAACTCAGGCTGCACATTTCAGTTTTTAAAGCAAAATGAAATTTCGTATAAAAGAAGCTTTAGAAACGCAGGACTTACCGAAAAGTTTATTTTTGAGATAGCCTAGTAATTGATTGGTGGTTTTAGTCACATCTTTGATGTGGATATTCTGGGAGAGGTTATTGGCTAAATGAACAGCAAGATATTTATAGGAGGAAACAGAAAGCAGAATTGAATTATTGCTGCAGTAGGAAGGACAGGTGTTATCTTGACCGGACACTCACATAGATCTGCATTTGGAAATGTTCCAGGAGCCAATTCAACGAGTGACATTATTAATATCAGTTTGAAGGGCAGAGGTGCCAGAAGCATTAAGAATTTCTTTATAAATAACACAATTGTCAGCACACAGGCTTAGGAAAGGGGAGACAAGTGTGAGAAGGTTGTTTATACAAGTAAGAAATAAGAGTGGGTTGAGTACGGAACCACGTGGGACACCGGAGCCAACGTGCGAGGGTGACAAATTGGTTAAGTTAGTCCAAACAAATTGGGTGCGGCTTGTCTGAAACAATTGTATCCGAGCGAGTACATTATAATCTATGTTTAGGTTACAAAGTTCATGGAGAAGAAGCGAGTAAGGAACTTCGTTGAAAGCTTTACAAAATCGAGGAATATGCAGCAAGTCCCGGAAGTTCCAGTAGAGTGGCGTGAAGGTAAAAATTAGAAGTTGGTTTTCACACAAATAAAGTTTACGAGAGGTGAAAAAATAACTTGAATACAAAAAACGAATAAGACTGGAATAAATTACAGGCTCGAGGATTTTTCATGGAATGCTAGTTAAAGTTATGTTTATCACCGCCTTTGTGCAGAGGAGTCACCTTCTCCACGTTCCAGGGTCTCGGTAGTACATGTTGTTGAAGTGACTGGGCAAATAACTCAAACTTTCGAGAAAAAATAGAAATTCCCTCGTCTCGCGGGAAAACTGTGGCGTTCCGAACGGGAACACGGGTGCACGTAGTTTCAACTGAAAACGAGCGTGTTGGTTAATAGATGCAAAACTTGAAAGTATAAAACAGTGAGGACGAGGACGAGAAGTCTTTCAAAATGCGGCACTTACACCGCCGCATTTAAATTTAGGGGACTCGCATACCTAACGAGAAAATCGCGACACGACATGTCGCAGAACACTGAGACGTAACGATGTGACAACGCCGATTCCCCATTAAACTTGCCGGGCCACGATATAGGTATGAAAGACACCCACGGCGGCGAAACTCGGCGATTAAAGAAAGCGGACAAAGCGCCCGGCCTCTCCCGACGCAGACCCACCGTGCCAGTGTCCCCGGTAGACGGTACCGAAGGAGCCCGAGCCTATCCGTGGCCCCGTGAGGATCTCGTCCGGCAGGATCTCCCAGTCCTCGATGGACTCCCGGGTGGGCTTCTGCTGCTGCATACGGAAAATTCCGCTCACCCTAACTGGTCCTCACAACACAGGTTTGGCCAATCACAAGCCGAAAGCGGGCAATGTTTGGCCAGTGGCCAGACAGTGGCCAGTCATTGGCTTTTCTGACCATTGGGCATTAGCCATCACCCATCGGTCAAGCATTGGCCGATGAATGGTCACTCTTTGGCCATTGGCCAAAAGACCATCACCAGCCATTGGCCAATGCATGGCCAAAATCCGTACTGCTCAAGTGGTCCCAGCAACGCAAAAAAAGTCGCGCCGGCGACCCCACAGCTGCCTTCCATGGACCGCCGGAGAGCGACCCGAAACGCAACGGTCGTCTGCCGCCGGGGTCGTGGCCGGCAACGGCCTGATACGACCTCGTCCAGCAGAAATCCGGGAACCATTCTTTGGGACACGGTAAACACCGAGGCGCGTTCCAGGCACCGTCGGCCTTGTCATTCTGGCGCCATCTGTCAGGTAAATACTCGCACGTGGAACTATGCATAGATGGATGCTAATGGCTGTACCCTTTATAACGGGTGGTAGCTTGCACCACCTAGCCTACAAATTAGATACCAAAAGTATGATTTCTTACTTCACCCTTCTAAGCCAATTTGCTTCCCCTCCGCAATTTCATAACTGCCCTCGGGCTGTGTGGGATACCACCATAATGACCACTGGGGGTATTGGGCAAAAGAAGCTAAAAACATCACCCCCCGCCTCTTTCCTCCGGTGAGGGAGTCGCCAATTTTCCTTCGGTCAAACCTACCATAAAATACCGAGCAAGCGCCAACTCAAGATATGAAGATAATCGCGAAAATCGGGAAATCGGCGCTTCTTAGGTCATTAATTTTACCTCTATATGTACCGTGCATATTGTCTCAGATGTTGCAAAATTTTGGGGTGGGTGCTTAGTATGGAATGGGAAGATGCTCGGTATCTTACGGTAGTCGGCGTTACCTCGGCACCGGGCCCACCGGGAGATGGGGCCGAGGCTTTGGGCCAGAGCCACGCAAAAGAGGGTCCCAAGTTTCCTCCGTTCTGCCTGTCCCCAGCTGTGTGAGTTAGTTGAAAGTCATCCGATTCTCCCTAGATAATTTCCACCAGCCTTCCAACCCCCTCTTTATAAATATAAATAGGCAAGGCACATGGTTTGGTCTATTTACATTTGTGGGGCAGCCAGCATCAATAAGAAAGCAAGTTTTATTGCTTGACTGACGGCCTTGGGCCTCGGGGACCCCGAGAAGGCCTTCCGGGGCCCCCATTTGAGAACCACTCTCTTAGACAAACCTATAGGAAGAATTTAAAAAGAAAAACTAGGGATTTTGATGTAGTCTTGTAAAGTGCTTTCCAAGCTGGCCAAGCAGAAGAAAGACACTCCCACGAAAATAACCGTGCAATTACGATGGTTACCTCGGTTTCCTAAAATGACTCCCGCACTTCGATAAACTCTAGTACCCGTGGCACCAGAGAGAGCTGTAAAATCCCAAGCGAGCGCCCACTCAAAATTTGGAGAACAAAAACTGGGGGACAGATGCTTTTTAGGTCAACAATACGTAAGGATATGTCGTTCGTGTCTTAATGTTGCAAAATTGAGGGGTGGGCACTCATTGTAAAATGGGCGGATGTTGGGTATTTTACGGTATGTCCCCGGCACAGACTAGGTTGCAAAACAATGCCCAGGTACTTGTAGCTCGTCAGTTACACTACGTAGCGCGGGAGTTCTCGACGTTTTAAACTCCGAGAACCCTCGCCTGCCTAGACGGACGCGCAAGGCCCCGGCGCCGAATGACCGAGCGGGGCAGAAGCGGACCCGTCAAACAATAATGCCCACACTGGGGAGGCAGTCGGGCATCGATGGGCGTCAATGGCCCGTCCCGAGAAAGGACTCACCGTGACGAGCTTCTTGGAGCTCTCGTCGGCCGAGCGTGCCCTGGGTCGGCACGCCTTGTGGGCGCTGGTCGGGGAGCCCTGGGCGCTCTGGGTGCGGGTCGGGCTGCCGCCAGGGCTCGAGCAGCTCTGGGGAGGGGCCAGCCCCACGCCCCCTGCACGCACCGGGCCTCGCTCAGCCGCGCCCTCTGACAGAGTGAGTCTCTCCTATTTCGCCCCATCTGGATCCTATCTGATAAAAAAGTGTCGCCAATGACGCCACGTCGCGCGACGCCCCGACGTCGAGTTTTACTTTCCCTTCCGACGAGCAGGGCGTACGACCGTAGGAGCCTGGTCGGGCCTTTTGGTCCCTCGGCCGAGACGTCCGAACGGTATCATTATGAGGCAACACCGAGGCTCTACCACTTCATTGACCCACACGCGTGTCTAGCATAATGAGTCACTTGTTTTCCAGAACCCACATTCTGCGTTAAAAGAATGGCGCAGCCACGGGCTGCGTGTCTGCCTCCTGTCCAACAAACAAAGTACTCGTTCCTCCACGCGCCTCCCATGCAGACGACTCGCTGACCTCAGACCTCGCGAGTAGTGTGCGGCAGCACAGGAGGAAGCGCAAGCGTAGCTCCGCAAAACGCGCCCTTTGCACAAGCACTCGCACGAGGCAAGCACGCTTCGATGCCGCGTGCTCGTTCCCCTGACAAGGCTGCGCGCGACTCTGGAGATTAAATACCAAATTGCCAGCACGCACGGATGGTCAACGTACCCCAAACAGCAATTCCTTTAGGAGCCTAGACAGGATGCTCGCCAAACAAATTATCCCCGAAACGAGATATGTTTGCTGCAATACTTACGTCGCGAGACACAGTTTCGGTTGGGAGCAAAACCGTCTATCTTGAGGAGACATCACCCTCGAAATACGAGTTAGCTTTGACTTTACGACGTGTCTCGCGACGTAAACATTGCTCCAAAATGTTTCTGGGGGCGAAAACTCTAGACAAGAGTGTCTTCCTAGGCAAGGTTCGTCTGAAGCCGATTGAAGCAGAAAGTGTGTTTGTGTTTCCCTGCTTTGATCCGTCTGGCTCGTTTTGCTCCTTTAGCTTTTGGGGCAGGTGCCGACCCGAACGCGCAACGTCTCGCGTCGGCTCTGCGCGAGGGCTCCAGCCGTTTTGTGACCGACCCGCGGCAAGCGGCTGCTTTAAGGGCAGCCGCGACTACTCCCCGTCTCCTACGTCGTTGGCGACTATGACTTGCGTGGTCAGATTAACTACGAGCTTTGTGTTTGCGCAATTGGTGCAACTGTGCACCGTGTGACCACGTGAAATGGCGGCGTGTCACGTAACTACTGAAAAATCTCGAGCCGCCACCCCCTCGCCTCCCCCTTTTGAAATTCATAAAAGAGTGGAGTGGGACATGATTCACTGGGTAAGTACAGAAAGTTCAGATAATGAAAAAAAACTAATTTTTCTGTACGTATCTAGTGTGGTTGCATGGGAGATACAGACAACCAACTCGAAACTCGAATTTGTTTAATTATTTTGTGTGCAAAACAATGTTTTACTATCACAAAGTCCGTCGCTTGCATATGAGCAACGAAGAGTGGATCCACCTCGTATAACACGGACGCTCGTTCCGTAAAAGCATGTTTCCACAATCGCCATGTTTGTTCAGCTCTCCCTAGCCTTTGCTCATCGGTAGAATAGAGAAAGGAAAAAGAAAGGCGACGGAAAAATAGAAAAACCGACAAGGAGCGAGCGAGCGAGCAGGCCAAAAAAATGCCACGAAGGGAAAGCGATTGCATCGACAAATACTCGGGCGTCGGGCCAGGACGGCTGCCCCATCAATCCCAAGGAACAGGCTCTTGCTCAACACTCTCGTCTGGTGCATACCTGCATGCATCCGCGTGCAGCGCGCTGGCATCAATGCGGGTTAGGGCGGCGTTGCTGCCCGACACAGATGATGCCAGAATAACGCAGTGTCAAATGGCATATTTCACAAACGTTGATGTGCGGCATTTACCCACTGCCTCCATCCCAAACGTCGCACGACCGACTGCAGTCGCAACATTCCGGGAGAATGGCTGGGTATTCATGATGATCTCATTGTGGTATAAACGGCCTCAACGAAGTTGCTCTCAGTTATGAACAAAGGAAAGAACCTTTGATCGTACATTCCGCGGTTCCACCCCAGGATACTGCGTGTTCGCTGACCTCGTAATCCCTGGATGGGCTACTGCTATCTTTCCAATATTTTTGCCTAAACAGATTTACATTTTTTGTAAACGAAGCTTTATTTCGTTATATTTATCATTTTCAACCGCATGTGCTCGGACTTTGGGGTCGCAGAAGATGGCCATGCCTGAACAAAGCAGAGTTCCTTTCCCTCCTTCGTCTTACTCTGTCATAAACATCCTCCGAGCGTACAATCCACAGTCCCACCGCGGTAACAGAAATACTTAGGGTGGAGTAACGCTGCTTCTCTGACAATGCGCCGTCGTGGCCAAGATCTCCTGCCACCGGGGCGCACATCCAACACTGTCCTTTCCTCGGTGGTAGTGTGCGTCGGGCTGCAGTGCTTATCGTTTTGTTTCTGGCCAGTTTCGGTTTCCAGAAGTTGCCGGCGATGGCGAATGAGTGCTTCGTGCCTGGATGCAAAGCGAGATAGAAAACCTGATTGGAGGTTCCTTTTTGTGACTCCCAAAGAGAACAGCCTAAGGTATGGCATGAGGCAATCCCAACTGCTTCAACCGACAGGTCTGCAAGAAACAGTCAAGGTTGCGCAGGAGCCTGCACCTTGTGATTGACAACTCGTACGACTCCCGATGCAATCGCCGGCTTCTTTCCCGCTTCCCAGTCTTTGAGCTTCGTTGCTCGCTCGCTCGCCGCGCATGTTTTCCCTTTTTCTGTGGTCGCTTTTACTGCACCAGTCTGTTTTCTTTTGAGCCAAGAACATAGTGGTTTGAAAGTGTGCTTTCACAAAACGATCGTTCATGGGGAGTGATCACGAAAGATGTTCATTGGAGGTGTTCATGCCCCGTATGCAAGCAACGAACTTCATGGATGTGAAACATTTTTCACGAGTTCGTATGAAATAATGAAACTAATTTGAGTTCACTGCATCTCCTGTGCAGTAGTGCTAAACGTGTAAGGCCCGCTTCAGATGGGACAACTATTCCAGCAATTTTGAGGTTGCTGGCGGGTTGTTCCCTAGCTTTCCCTAGATCGACACGAATTGCTGAGATCGGGTTTGGCTCGAAACGGACGAGCAATTCGAACAACTCGGAGACATTTGAAGTGGCAGAGGCCAATCAGGGACGCAATATTTTCATGTGACACCCCTGTGGTGGTGATGATGACAGCTAAAGACTTGGTTCTGGTTTGAATCGGTATGTTTTTGGAAATCAACCTTTTCAGAAAGATGAGTTAGTATTCTCAACACCATTCAAAGATATAAAAACACGTTTTTAGTGCATAGCTGTGCGTCTAAATAGTGCAAGAAATATAAAATTTCATGATGATGATCGCAAGTCGTAGCAATTCGGTTGCTGCGTGTGAACGCGGGCGGCCCGTGTTGCTGGTGTTGCGACGTCAAGTTGCTGGGCGAAATTGCCCCGTCTTTAGTGGGCCTAAAGCGAAATGGGTGTTTTCTTTACCTTTCTTGGAGCCACCCTACTTTATTTATGAATTTCAGAGGGGAGCTGGAATGTAAACAAATCTACAGCGTTTGCTCACTAGAAAATTGCCTAGCCTCCTCCTAAATGTGGCGGTTCGAACCCAAAGTTTTAGAATGATCCGATATCATACCCCAAAGAGGCGTTTTCAGTTTCGAAGGGAAAGTAAAGCCAAGAAGCCAACGCCATTCATTTCCACGCATTCGTGGGCTTCGTCAGCTGTCATTTTTTCGGTAGAAATTCCGAAACACTGCTTGTAACTTTTTAATAACAAGCTCCCAAACTTTGGCATCTGGTCCTGACCGCCACATTTTGGCCAGGCGTAACCACAGTGTGCGGGGAAAAAGCACTCGCTATTGGGCCACCCCGTCTAACGGGGTGGCGCGAGGGGTCCCCATCACTGGGCGTTGACAGGGAGCTCCAGAAATGCACTGACACGTCGCGTGACGTACCCAACACGTTAGACGACGTGACACCGGCTCGTTACACCGAGTCACGGCGTGACAGGACACCCCCGTGGAGGCCACAAAAGCCCCGCAAATGTGTTTGAAATGCCCCGGAGACGCACCTCCGGGGGCCCTGGTGGAGGCGTACGCAAAGGCATGGCGCTTGGCGCCCCCCGCACCGTGCGGCAGGGTCAGGTGCTGGGTGCTCCCCGCCGCCCCCCTGGGGGGCGGGGAGTGCGGCGGGAAGCCGTTGCACCAAAAGCTGCGCAGGGCCTGGGGGGACGACTCTGGGGACGGCAGCCATGGGTCGCCGGCTAGGAGGTCCATGCGGGGTTGGCAGTCCGGCAGGCAGGAGGGAGGAGGAGGGGCACACAGGGCACAGTCAGTCGTGCACGGCATTCCACAGTCGCTCGGACAAAGCTCCCGCCTCGCTCTTTGGCCGGCGCCCCGTGCAATCGCCCGATGCCCAAGGGGATCGCCGCGTTAACCGATTCGAGTGCTCGCTCGGGCCGTCTCCTCTTCACAAAGTTCTCTAAAATATTTCCAATTACTTTTTGTCGAGCCAGGATTATTGTTGCCTTTCCTTCAACGATTTGATAATTGGTAACGATACTAATCTGCCGTAATTTGCAACTAAATACGCGTTTGAAAGTCGAGACCTTCGTCCTCCTTTTAAAGCCGCGTCCGTACGGAATGTGCGCTTGGCCAATTTTACGACTGGGTTCAGAGGTACGTTGGGAAAGAATGTTTGCTTTGTCAAGAACGCTTTCCGTTCTTGAATTAAGAAATAAATGGCTGCACACGTGCAAAAGGACAGAAATATCGGGTGTTACCAAAGGCATCTCTGAGATGTGGCAAACGTCCTGAACAAGGTAAGGCTCTAAGCTGCAATGTGGCAATGTACTCTCTAACTTGGGTGGACACCAAAGTGCCGTCATTGTTTCTCTAAATTTCTCGCACCCCGGCGTCTTTGCGAGTCTGTACAGTTCCCACGAAAGAAGACATAAACATATTCTACATACTCTGTCTGGTGCGATAAAAGAAGTGAGCAGCAACCAAACCCTAAATGTGAGAAGAAAGTAAAAATTGAACAGCCCATCCATCTTCACATGAACCTCAAGTATGATTCCTAGAGGATGACATCTAGGACAGCCTCAAGGGCGACGCCCAGAGTACGACCTCTTGGACGACTTCTGGGACAACCTCTCGGACGATCTCAAGGACAACTTCTAGGAAGACCTCGAGGACGTCTAGGACGACCTCAAGGACGACTTCTAGGACGACCTTGAGGACGATGCTTAGAGATGATAACAAGTGATCAGGACTTAACTATCTCATAATGCCAAGGAAGGCCGACTCACGCTGATTGCCCCCCTTTTTATTTTTATTTATTCACACTTGCCACAACCAATGGGGAGCTTTCTGTTGACATCTGAGGATGCATTTTTCCCCAGACCCTAGCCCATAACAGCTTTGCTGTAAAAAGAATAAAGCTGTTGCGTCCTCTCGCATTTAGCGGTTGGTGGGACCGGAAAATGAGCTCCGCTACGTCGTCGTTTGCCATCATGGCTGCATCGAAAGGGCCGACTCTCGGGCGCATAGGTATTGTTCTATTACCACGCGATCGCCAGCCAGCTTAGCTGCACTCCCGTTCGGTCCCAAAATGACCGGGGCACGTAACAGTCCATCAAATGCATGCCAGTCTGGGGTAGAACCGAAAGGGACTAAGGTAGCAGGACGGTAAGCGTCTGAGCGTTCGCGCAAGCAGACAACATCGAGCGGGGGACAGAGGCAAGGGAGACGAGGCAGAGGCACCTCGGATGGCACACAAAAGAGAGGGCTCACCTGCCGAAGAGTTGTGAGACCTGTAGCGATTTGCAAGGTCCTGTGGGGCAAAGAGAGACGGCGTCAAAGAGCAACTCAAACTTCGAACACACCGTCAATGAAAACAGTGCACGATCGGACCGACCTATCGATAAACCCGTCGCTATCCTTCCTTTGGGACAGCATGCCTACCGCAAGGCGGTACGAGTTCCATTACGGGGGACGACGGTCCCCTACCCAATGCACTCGAGGGACAAGCGTGTTCTTTCTGCGCTGCATGGATCCTTTCGATGGAATCTCGAAGCCTTCCAGGTCTTGCCCCGCTCCAGTGTGCTCCAGTGTGCATCTGCTGGACGTCTCCTTCTAAAGTCTCTGGCACTCCTTGCCCTTTGCTGCGCTGCATGGGCATGCTCCACGCCAAAGCGTTGTTGCAGGGCCTGGGTGGGACTACTTGAGGACCTCTCCGCACGTCAATGACCATGGCCCCTTTTCGTGGCACACGCTCTACAATCAATGTCGGTGACCCCACCCTCTATCTTGCCCGCAGCCTCCCGCTCCCGCCTGCTGGCATCGTGGCCGTGCCCTTGCGAATGCTCTGCGGTTTGTCCGAGTCTTTTGCGTCTGTTCCAGATGGGCTGATCCTTGGCATCTCCTTTCCGAAAAAGCGGTCGACAGCCGAATCTCCTCGGAGGGAGCTGGGTGGGGCTGAAAATACTTTTAGAGCCAAAAAAAGCAGTCTACGTGAGCCTGACGTTTCGGTGTAGCGTAAAATGTCGTAAGGATGCCCTCTCCCGAGAGATTGCCCATCCCGTTTTTCTGGCTAAATATCTGTAACATAAAAAATCCGAAACATCGCTAACACCCCGATTCCCGTTCGACGTCAAGCAATGTCCTACAGGAATTGCGCATCAACGGCGCGATCCACGGTACCGGTACGTTTGATCATAGCTTCCTGTATACCGACAAAGGCTGGCAGATCGCCACGAGACGCGGCCGCCGAAAGTGAAAAGGTAGAGCGGCAGACAATGAATGAGAGGAGAGGCAGGTAACGGGCGCCCCGCTGCGGCGAAACGCTGAAACACACTTCTTCTGAGCGATGGAATGTCCGCTCGTGCTCCTCGCGTTCCTGGCACTATCGCTTCTTTTCTCATCAGGTTTGAAAACCATGTTTCGGGTCCTCGCCGCTGCACAAGCTGTGCACTGAATACCAGAAATGCTCTGTGCTACCAGATCCTTGCGCTCCAAACCTGCGACCAGGCACTCTACGGCTCCGTTGTTGAACTGCCAGGCTTTGTGAATACAGAGGAGGCTATGGTCTGACAAGCGAGTTCATAGCGAGTTCCCGCGTTTTTGTCTGCAATCTGCGCGCGTGATACCAGCTCCCATAACACGCGAGTTGTTCCCGCGTGTGTATTGCATCGCGAAATGCGAATCTGCCGCGTCAGCGATCTGGGGTATCCGTTCTCGAGTTTGTAGCGAATTCCGGTGTTTTTGTCCGCGATCTGCGTGCGCGATATCAATTCCTAGCTGTAACATGCGCGAGTTGCTCCCGCGTGTATACTGCATCACAAAATGTGATTCTGCTACGTCCGTGATTTGCGGTATTTGTTTCCGTGACACATGATATGTAGCATATTCCCACATTTTTGCCCACGATCTGTGCGCGCAATATCGGTTTTCGTGACGCAAGATTGTAGCGGGTTCCCCCGTGTTTATTGCACTATAAAACTAGAATCCGCTGCGTCCGCGATCTGCGGTATCCGTTATTGTGAGATACGAGTTCTCGGCGGGCTTCCGCAAGCCCTTTGCACCGTGAAACGCGAATCCGCTGTGTCGGCCACTTGCGGTATCCTTTCTCATGGCAACAGTTCTTAGCGAATTCCAGCGTGTTTATCACATTGTGAAATGCTAATTTGCCATGTCCGCGATCTCCGGTAACAGTTCCTGCGTCGCGTGGTTTATAGCAGATGCCCTGGTGCTTATCTAATATTTTTGATAAAGTTTTGCTGAGGTATCCCCAAAGATGACCCACCCCGTGTTTTTCACCATCTATCTCTACATTTTGGGTGGGCGTCCTTATGGGGTTTTACGGTACTTTTTTTTTTTCGAGTCTAAAAATCTGTGGAGACTGGTCACTCGGCTCTCCTAAGTAGGAAAAGCAGACGCTGGGGGTTTGCTCCTCGGAGGGGCGGCTCTTTTTCCTGGCCATTGCAGCCGTTTCCTCCCGTGACGGTCCTCCTTCCTTGGCTCGAGCTCCGTTGCAGGGACATATTTCCCCGGAGCTGGGCGCTTGATGGCGCCATAAATCTCCTTTTCTTCCTGCGGTGCTCCCTAGCCTCTTCCAGAACGTCTATCTACGGTGCTCGCAGTGCATCTCCAGTCCTTCCTCCGTTTGTGCACCATGAAACCATTCACATCTGCCGCAACCCTGGCCTACTTGTACTACCCTAATTACTACGCTACGAAGAAGGAAGGAGTTTTTTACAGCATAAAAGAGGCGTGCAACGTGTAAAATCTCGCTAATTTCTAAAATTTTTGTCACGAATCTTGGAAATCTTTTATCTAAACTGCGGAATTCGATTTTCGTCTGAGCAATTCAAAAACTTAAAACTTGCAAAATCTTCTAATTTTTCAAACTCAAAAAAATTTGAAACCTACAGATTTTTCTTTTTTGATCTTAAAACCCAAACTTTCAGAAACCTCGACGTTTTTTTAACTTTTTGACGTTGAACCTCGGTGGAGCTCGATAATTGCAGACGTTTGAAATTCAAATTTTAACGAGGCTCAAAATGTTCCGAACATTTAGAAATCAAACTTTGGGAGCTTGGTGGCACCTCTACTACGTAGCCCTGAAGCCCTAAAGTCCCGAATCCCAAACTTTACTTAGAAATAAAACACCCGCTTTTTACCCGACACGTACGGAGACAGCATTCCGTTCTACGCTCGTCCCAGACGACACCATCGGTGCGTACTCGTCTAACCACCACCGCGGACGGCGTGCCTAGATTTCGTCCGTCGACGTTTGCGATGCGGGCTGCGAGGAAGACGCATCAACGGTCGCGTTTCCGAGCTCCGTTCCGCCTCTGCGGGGCGACGCATGCACTTGCAGCCGGCAGACGAAGGGGTTTCGGAGACCACCCACCTCAGCCGAAAAGTCCTGGCTGGAGACGAGGTTGTAGCAGACGTTGGGGGCCGAGGTGGAGCGTTCCCGCTGGCCCAGGGGTGGCGGGTGCGGCCGGGGCACGCTCAGGGGTGCGCTTGCCTCGCACGGGGCTGCGGGGGCCAGGAACGGGGCGTAGCCACCTCCCTCGTACTGGGGTCCTACCACGTCCTGCATGGCCAGCAGGCTGCGAGCAACCACACTTGCGCCTCACACTCCAGGCCCCAAGAGGATGCTCCAAACACGTTTATTCAAGGATTGGTCGACGAGAGAGCAAGCTGGTGCTACGGGATTACTACGAGACGCAGAAAAGGTCTCCGACGCAGCTGCAAATTAATTTTTGCACGAGGATCTTGGTATAAAAAAGACTAACTCTTTTTTACGGCATTATAAACAACTTACTACTGGTCGATAAGAATCAATATATCGGTGAAGATAAGACGCGAATAACGAGGAAGCACGGAAGGCACATGAAAGAACGAAGGTCTGGTAAGGATTGTTTGAGATGTTTATTTTTCTTGCAGACTGCACGAGATTGGAACCAGTTACCGGAAAGCATTGTACGTGCATCTAGCCGGGAGGAGTTTGCATCTCTTATTTCCACATTCAATATGAGCACGGGTTGAGTTTGTTGTATTCTATAGTGGACATTGCACGTAGTTTTATGTGTGCATTGTGTTAGTTCTGGTGCAGGGTAGTGCAAACTGAGTTTGTGCACGTTTGATGACTGAATGTTGGGCTGTAGTTACACTCTATTGTCCTAAATCTACTCATGTATCCCACTCCTATCCTGTTCCGTTAAGGGACTGAAAGTATTTTCAAATAAATAAATAAAATAAATACGAGTCTCTCGTCGTTAATATAATGAAGCCACCAACCGGGATGGAGGGGCTCTGTTATGTCAGCTTGCGATAATAAATCTGCGTTTGAGATGTTTCTTGTCTCTGGCATCTTGGTGTTTTTCAGCAATCGTATTTAGACAGTTCATTCTGATGTTCATCCCTCGTGAAAAGAGAAACAAAATAACTTATTCCTCATCAAATATGAACAACGCGGCAATTTCATGTTTTGCATCAAAATTGGTCCGAATGGTCCCAACCAGCTTCTAGCTGCGCTCAACTTGCTGTCTCACATTTTTGTGAACACTGTAGCTTCATTTAGAGTAGAACCTTGTTACTACGTTCTGCGTCATTACGTTTGCCCTGCCGTCACAAATGCCGGTCCCAGGGATGTGTGCATCAGTATCTCGGTTGTGCTGTATGCCACATTTTTGTCTACTGAGCCTAGAGTCAATGACAGGCAAAAAGAAGCCGCTCAAAGGGCGCTCACTCATGTCGCGGCTTGACGAACCATCTTTTTTTCAATATGGCAGCAAGCACAATTGCCGACGCCGGGTTCTCTGAGATTTTCGAGCTCCTGTCCCTCTCGGGTTTACGTCGCACGCAGGTTCCTGCTTCCTTTTGTCTGTGGTAATTTCCGTGGAACGACATGAGAACCATGTCGACGTCCAGGTGTTCAGTACGTCTGCTCCGTCGTGTCGACAGCAACCAACGAGGCCACTGTCGACACGCTTCGTCAGTGGCTTCTTTTCCTGGGTTTACTGTTCGCCCTTGTGAAATTCTAGCGGTAAGAGCGTTTCTTCACGGTCATTTCTGTGGGGCAACGCATAGAGTTCTTATAATTAGGGTTCAGAGTTTTCAGTTTAAACTGATAAAGGTATGCCGAATCCGTTTTCGGAAATTCGATTTTAACCGAAAAAGGTTAGTTTGTAGGTTCAGCGTTTGCAGTTTAAACCGATAAAAACCGATAAAAGTATGTCTCATCCGTTTTCTAAAATTTGGTTTTAACCGAAAAAGGTCTGTTTTTTGGGGCCGCGTCGAGGTGGGTTGGGGAGGGGGGGGACAGAAAGAGGGTTTTGCAAGATTCAACATTATGTGACGTCTTTGTAATTGCCCCCTTCCAACGTTCAACACGCAACAAAAAAGGTCTTGGATTGGCCTTCACAGGATATCTGTGTACTTTCTGTGATCGGGCTTAGTGAGTCAAGTTCCCGGTCCTAAAAAAAGAAGTCTGGATGTGGGCTCGTATAAGGTTTTTCGCTTCATGCACTTCAGAGGACATTGACAAAAGCCGCTAATACCTTTCTTTGCACCCTCTCTCAAACTTCCTTGTGGTTAAAAACATAAATACAATAATTTTTTTTTTTTTTGCCACTCCGCTGGTTTTTGTACGGTCATCACCTCAGACGGTCACGTCGTCAGAATGGGAAGGGGAAAGAGGCGCGTTAAAGATTATGCCAGCAAATTCCGCGATTTTGGGGTGTGTCCTGACGGAAGTTGTAGCGAAGACCACGTATGTATACGTGTCGTTATTCTTTGAGTGATCACAAATATCACAGCTACAAGTATCATCTGATCTGGTGTCCGATAGTGTTTCTTTCATATTCACTGAAAAAAGTCGGTAAACTTTTTTGGGAATAAATATACTACACCGAAAAAAACCGAAACCTGGATTTTAAAATAGAAACCAAAAAATGTATGCTGAATTTCGAAAAAATAAAAGCTGAAAACGCGGAAACCTAATTATATTGTACGCTAGAGGTCCAACTGGCGCTAGTGTGCAGTTTCAGATTTAAGCAGATGGCAACAAGTCTGATTTGACTTCCGGTAATGCATTTGTATGAAAAAAAGTAAGTGAATTTTCTCTCAGTGCTGGATTCTAAGAGCAAATATTACAAATAATTCTTACGTAATAAATAGCTCGGAACATTTTAAACATAGGTCAGGTACGGCGTTTTTCTTTCAAATTCTTGGCATTAAACGTGGTGCTAAAATGGCTTCGTACACGTATTTATGTACACTGTCCGATACTGGTAGTGCGAATACGGCATCGGCACTTTTCTGAGGGAGGGCTTACATGCTCAAGCAACGAGGGCATGTTGCAAATCAAGAGAGACGTCAAGAACTACGCACTAAGACTGGATCAGTGACGACCTGTAGACGTAAATGATCAAAATAAAGGGCAACTGCCATTTGAACAAATAATATTCATTTATTCTGTCTGCTCATGCTTAATAGCTTTCAAAGCATCCACATGCTCCAAAACTCGCACCACCTGCCTCTGCTCCTCCAGTCTGTAGCTCAGTTGGCAGCACGCTCAGTGACTGCAGTTCGATCCCTGACACTGGTTGTCAAGATTGCCTAGTCGGTACGGACTGGCCGACCTACACATTTCGCGTTTATGCGACTCCTGAGGTTGGATGGCCCTATAAAGCAACTGTTTAAGGGGACACACCTCCTGGGAGGGTTACCTTTCGAGACCTTGGCTTAAAATTGCTAATGAAATTTACAGGGTAGGCTGGTGGTCATGCTAGAGGGTGCATAACAAAATTTCAGGTCTGTCGGTTCAATGGGAAGGAAGAGTGGGCATGGAAACAGCCTGAGGATGCAGTCTTCTAATCCGTTCTGCTTCATTGTACAGATCCTGCTTTGCCTGTGTTCAGCGCCTGTCTGGGCATCGCCGTTTTCTCAAGTCATCGTCACAACAACGCTGGCCACGGAAGGATTTCCAGTTCTTCAAGATAAATCCGACGTACGTTTTGGCGTACTCGCGTACTGGCCGCAGTATGCCTTTACCCGGCACAAGGAAGCTACCCCATCGACATCGACACTAATCAACGAGGCTTCAAAACCGTGGAACGTCGCCAGTTCTGTCAGTGGGCATGGAAACAGCCTGAGGATGCAGTCTTCTAATCCGTTCTGCTTCATTGTACAGGTGGGTTCCTCTCCGTCGTTACATACTAGACGAACGAATAACGTCGTTCTTCTGCTGTTTCCATGCCCAAGTGTTATTTGTGTTACGGTCATTGAGTGCTATGATGTGGTAAAAATCGTTACTAGCACTTTCGGGCGACATTGAACTTAATCCCGGCCCCATGAGCGACGTTCAAGCGAAACAATTCGCGGATTTGATGCAGCTGGTGAGGGATATGAATGAACGATCTTTGAAATCTGAAGTTGGGCAAAACAGTTTACTAGACAGTGTGAAAGAAATAAGAGAAAGTCAGAGTTCAATCGAAAGAAAAATTAACGACATCGGTAATCGACTTACGCTTGTCGAGAATAAAGTATCTGCGCTTGAATTGGTTGACCAAGATTTCAACACAGTAAAATGTCTCGCTGAAAAATTAAATTATGACAACGCCACTTTGAATGACCGTCTAAACGACCTTGAAGATCGATCGCGTAGGGATAATCTAGTTATTTATGGTTTGGCAGATTCTCCGTCCGAAACTTGGTCCGTTACTGAAAGAAAAGTTCTCGAGCTTGCTTCTGGCTCTCTTGAGCTACAGGTGCCCCCAGACTGCATTGAGCGCTCACACCGCATCGGTGCTTTTAGTGCCAATCGCTGTCGCCCAACAATAGTGAAATTCTCCTCCAATAAAGTCAAGAATTATGTATTTTCGTCGCGTTTTAAGTTGAAAGGTAGTGACATTTACATCTGTGAAGATTTCTCGCCAGCAACCCGCCAAGCTAGGAAAAAACTAACTGAGTTTGGAAAAACCTCTAAAAATGTGTTTCAACTACGCTACAATAAACTGTTTATTAACAAGAGGTGTTATATGTATAACTCAGTGTCTGACGAAGTGTTTGATCTCGGTGCTGGTCCTGATAGGAGTGAAGGTGATAACGTCAACAGGCCTCCCCTTAACTTGCATCAAACGCCCTCATCTGATAGGCGCGAAAGAGATAACGTTAACATGCTTCGTAACACACATCAAGCGTCTTCTTCACCATAACATGTGGCAAGGGGCGTGGGTGCTATTCCTTTTTCCAAAAATGTGTCAGCACTTTTTAGCAATATAAGGAGTATTTTACGTCATCGTGATGAATTGTGTTCAGTTATTGATTCCTGTAGCGCTGACGTAGTAGCTTTAACCGAAACGTGGCTGTCATCGAATGTTCGGAATTGTGAATTATTTAGTTGTGATAAGCGTTTTAATGTCTACCGTTGTGATAGGGGTGCACGAAATGGAGGTGGCGTTTTATTGGTAGTTGCCGATCACATTGATTCTTTCTGTGTGCGTTTGAATAGTGATTTAGAAATAGTTTGTTGTTGCTTGTGTTTGAACTTCCAAAAAGTTATCTTAGCCGTGTGTTATCGTCCGCCATCAGCTAATCCTTCTTTTGTTTCGAATCTTCATGATGTTTTGAACTCAATAATAGTGCGCTTTCCTTCATCTCCTATACTCCTCCTTGGTGATTTCAATTATCCTCAAATAAAATGGTCTCACCCGCATATTTTCTCTAACCCTTTCTCATCAGATGCGGAAGATTTTATAAAGTTATGTGATGACTTCAGCTTTTCGCAGCTGGTGTCTCTTCCTACTCGAATCACTGCTACAACTGCAAACGTATTAGATCTCATTTTGTCAACTTCACCTGAACTTATTTCTTCTGTTACTTTCATGCCGGCTCTCAGCGACCATTCACTACTACATTTTTCACTTGATGTGCCAGCCAAAACAGCACAGCGAACTCTTAAAAAAATACGAGACTATGGTAGAGGTGACTATGACTCTATTAACGGTGCCCTTGGCCTTTTTCTTAACGATTACTTAGACCACTTTTCTGACCGTTCTTTAGAATTAAATTGGACATTGTTTAAGACGCAGGTTGAGCTCCTAACCAATAAACATATACCGCTACGTAACATCCCAATTGTTCCGAATTCCCCTTGGTTCAATAACACTCTAAAAAGACTTTCCAATAAAAAGAAGCGCAAATTTCGTGCAGCAAAGTTAACAAATTCGGAGGTTAAATGGCTCGAGTATCATGAAGCTGCCAATGCTTATAAAAGTGCAATTGCGGATGCAAAGTCAGTTTATTTTTCTATCACCCTGCCATCACTACTAACCAACAACGTCAAACAGTTTTGGAAGGCGATCAACGGCAATAAAAACACCACACTGTCTCTGTTTACTTTATCAGGTGAACCTGTTTCCACTGATGACTGTGCAAATGTTTTCAATTCTACTTTTGTTGAATCATTTTCAAACTGTATTTCTTCAACTTTACCTCAACTTCAACAACGCGCTTTTCTGCCCATGTATCCCATCTTAATTCAAACAAGTGGAATTATAAAGATAATTGAACAGCTAAAAATATCCTGCTCCGCGGGAGTTGACGGAATTAATTCTAAATTTTTGCTAAGAACAAAAGAGTATTCTTCTATAATACTGTCTAAATTATTTGAGCAATCACTTACTCTAGGCTGTTTACCTGACGATTGGAAGGTGGGTAAAGTGGTGCCCGTGCATAAAACCGGTGATCATCATTCTCCTCTCAATTACCGTCCCATTTCCATAACAAGCATTCCGTGTAAAATTCTTGAGCATATTATTTTTTCTCATCTCGTTCAACACCTGGAATCCAATTCATTCTTTGCCCCTGCACAACATGGCTTCCGTAAATCATTTTCGTGTGAAACTCAGCTACTCACCTTCACTCATGACCTTCACCTTATTCTTGATCATGGTTCCCAGGTGGATTGTATTTTCCTTGATTTCGCCAAAGCTTTCGATAAGGTGTCACATAATCTACTACTCCATAAGCTTAGCAAACTTAACATTGATCAGGATGTACTTTCATGGATTCGCGCTTTCCTTAATAACCGATCTCAATTTGTGTCTGTGAATAATACCTCTTCAAGTCCAGCTCCCGTGACATCAGGCGTACCTCAAGGCTCAGTGTTAGGTCCCCTGCTCTTTCTTATTTTTATCAACGACTTACCTTCCTGCGTTTCGTCCTCTATTAGCTTATTTGCAGATGATTGCGTTCTTTACCGAGAAATAACTAACACCTCTGATGTTGCTATCCTTCAGTCTGACCTTGATTGTGTTTCTAATTGGTGTAACGAATGGAACATGCAGCTCAACACTAACAAATGTAAAGTAATGACTGTTTCTCGTCTTAACTCGCACTCTACTTTCTACTATCTAAACAGTGTTTTGTTGGAAGGTGTATCATCGTATAAGTACTTGGGGATCCATATTTCATCGAACCTGTCTTGGGAGCCTCATATTCGCTACATAACTAACAATGCTAACCGCATGCTTGGCTTTCTCAAACGTAATTTTCCATCTGTTCCTGTATCTCTAAAGCTACTACTATACAAAACCCTTGTCCGCTCAAAATTGGAATCGCCTCCCCTATATGGGATCCCGGTACTGACTTACTTACAACAGCAGTCGAAGCTATTCAAAATAGATCTGTTCGCTTCATTCTTACTAACTATCACCGTAGTGCAAGCGTAACATCCATGAAAACGTTTTTAAACCTACCTACCCTTTCTTCACGTCGTGAGTTATCCCGTCTTTGTCTGTTTCATAAAATTTATCATCACAATTCTTCCTTGCATCAAAAATTACTAACCCCTCCCTCATATGTCTCGCCACGCGTCGATCACCAACACAAAATCGGTCTAACTGTTTGTAAAACCACTACTTTTTATAATTCATTCATCCCCAAAACAGCAATCACGTGGAACCACCTTCCATCGTCAGTTGTGTCTGTAACAGATGCTACCATGTTTAAGCGTTGTTTAACCACTTTTCTAAGTTAAAATTTCTTATGTTCGTGTTTCTATTCTTAGGTTGTCATTTTGTTTTTTAGTGATTTTACTTTGTAACCCACTCCCCTCTGTAATGCCCTCGGGCCCTGAGGGTACAATAAATAAATAAATAAATAAATTAGAGCAGCTTCTATCAGTAACACGCCTACATTGTTTAGTTAATCTATTGTCGGAAAACTATCACTATATTCAAGATTTTTATTTGCTAGATATGTAGTAGAATGCCTAGGAGGTGTGGTTATGGCAAGTTTTTTTGTTAAAGTCATTTATTTCTATCAATTTTCTCTTCTGCAAAATTGGTCAACTTTTTGGTCTTCTGTGTCTCTAACAAAATGTCAACATTTTTTTTTAAAAGACATTCATAAAGTGACAAAAAAAAATTCATAGCCACATTTGTTAATAAATTTTAGTCAGGAAAAAGGAAGAATGATCCTTCCCTATATTGCCATTATCAAACGATAGATAGACTAAAATGGAATTTATACCAAAAAGTGGAACGAAGAAAAATGTGGTCAAAGTGCTCCAAACCTTACCTTTCCTTTAGCTTTGGTGGACAGAAAATAATTTATAAAAAATGAACTATGCAGTGTAAACTAGTGAAAATTTCTGGGAATACTCTCTGGATGTAGATGTATGTAAATATGTAATTTTTCAAAATCAATGTCTTTTGCAGAATGTTTTTTTCTGGGTAGTGTCCCCCCCTTAAAAAAATTTGTTGCACAACACACACAAAAGAATGTGTTGCACACGCAGTTTGAGATCTCCATTGCCCCAGAGCTCTACGAAGCACACCCGCAGAGATTTGCTGACACGGCACTCTTTAAGATCTTCCAAATTTGCATGTCCAAAACAGCGGCTTTTGACTGGCCCTAAAAAGAGGAATGGGGTGGAGTAAGGTCACTCGTACATTTCATTTGGAGCGGAAAAGATGGCATAAAACTCCTACAGGAAACCCTCTATATGGACGGTCATGAAAAAAAAAATGTCCCCTTTTGCCGAGTCTATACTTCTTCCCAGGGGTTTCAATAAAGGGCGAAAGTCGGTCTGGGAGTCTTCACGAGGCCCCTTTGCACTCACTGCTTGTAGTAGTCGTTCTCGACGCGCAGCGGCTGGCACAGGGTGGGCACGCTGGAGGCGCAACGCTGGTGGAAGCGGTAGCCACACGTCTGGCAGCGGAACCCGTGGAAGAGCAGCTTGCGGCAGCACTCGCAGAACGCAAGCGAGAAGAAGGTCTTGCGTACCTGCGCATCCATCCCCGCCACTCTTAGGAGACGTTCCCACAGGAAACCTTTAGTCAAGCTGCTTCAATAAAAGCTCACAAGATCAGTTTAGGTATGCCCAGTGCTTCTTTTGAAAGCGCCAGATAAGCTCTCCTTGGCTGGATTAACCACTCAAATGTTGGTCGTAGTATACTTACAGTGTGCAGTGAGAATCTTTTGTTAAACCTAGCTTTTATGTTTAAGAGATCTAAATAAAGTTGTAACTGTTTGCAAAAATATTGCAAGAGCACCACTTCTGCTTTGACTTCGTAAACGGCGTTTACAAAAAGCGGTTCCATATGCTGCTCATTCTGCTCATCTTTTTTGTGAGTGCGGTTTGTTTTGCATTCACCGATATACTAGGTAGGCAGCAAACAACTGTTGCAAGCACCTTAAAGGGCCACTGACTAAGTATTTATGCTCGCCAAGGTTTTTAGTTGTAGATGACAGATGAGAGCCCAACTACCCAGAACACAATTTGAGGCTCGAAATTCGTTCCCTTTCTGTCAGAAAACCGCCAATCGAGAAATGGCCGGTTTGAGCTGCGCTCACTCTCTTTTCCGTGGTCACGTGCCGTTTTCTATGGTTTAGAGACACACACCAATTATAATCAAAGTCGTGGGTCATCAAAGGCACACACTCAGTACTAGAAGTAGACAAAAAAATATGATACCCATTTTTTGTGGCTTCTAAAAAGCTGCAATACGGTGACTGAAACAAAAAAAAAAAAAGCTGCACAAAGAATTAGAAGCACTCCGTGCATTCTCAGCGTAATTCTCAACATGGCGTTGTATCGCGGCAAGAGTGGACGACTGATTGAAGTGGACTAAGCGATGGTGGCAGACGACGGACATGGGACCTCTACTAAAGAACTGTTGTTCGAGGTACCGGCGAACCTGTCTAGCTTTACCGATAAAAACAATTGGGATATATTCCATACGACACGCCCCACCACCAAGCTGATTCGCACAAAGACACTGCCAAGTCGTCACCCCTCTCCTGACTGAAGACATCGCCCGTCTTACGAACACGAATTGGTGAGAGCTCAAAAAAGGTGCACACTTAAAGCACAAAGTGCTTGCAGTGATGTGATTGGCCTAAGCCGTTTTGGAGCACTTTTCGGAGCAGCCAAAACGGTGTTTTGGAGCAGCAAAAGTGGCTTTTGGAGCAGATATTCCTAGAAAAATAAAAATATTTGTTTTAAGTGCTGGACAAATGAAGGGCACTTTGCTCGCCGCAATAAAAATAATGGTCAAGTTAGACCACCCGGGAGTCTTTCAAAATGTTAACTGAAATGCCAATGACATGACACATCTTGCAATGTTTCAGTTAAATGATACATACCTATGTACCCGCTATAGATAAATAAGAACCAAACTGCGCATATTAAATTTATTTGAAAATGACCAGCTTAGTAGTAAATATCAAAGCATACAGTTGACTAGTTATACAATATAATAAATGGAAGCAGTCTCCGACTGTTGAAACACGTAACTACTGCATTGCAATGCGAAACTGTACACAAGAAAAAGGTGCAGTACGACTAGCGGGTGCTTTTCCTTTTTGGAACTTTCTGCACGTCTGCTGCAAGCCTCGATTTGTCTTCGGCAGGTAATGAATGTCCACTTTCAAAGTCCCCAAAGAGACATTGAGACATCCCACAACTGTACAGTGCTGTAGGCGTCGCCTAGCAATTCCGAAAAATCGCTTGCCGCCGTTTTACTGGTTCCCGACATGCCAGATTTTTTGTCAAAAGCAAAAAAAACAAACGTAAAGCAATGGACTGCAAGCGTCCCGGTTGGTGCCTCCGCCATGCAATCATGTTCGCATGCACGTGAGGGCAACTTCGGCAGCTTGCAGTTGCGCGCACTTCGTTGTGCGAGCGGAGATGGCTGTGCGATCGAAACCATGCCACTCCGCTCCGTCGCCAACTGGTTCCCAAAACTTTATGCTAAATGCAACGGTCCAGCATACGGCAAAAAACAGTCCAGCGGCGCCTGCTTGTCAGGTGGGCACAGGAGGTAGAAGCTAAACACACAGAAAAAAATAACTTGAGCGCATCGATACAAGACGTCGCGAGTCAGGGTCAAAAAGTTCTTGGAACGGTTTGTGCAACGACTGAACTCGAGACAAACAAGCGCGCTGTGCGAGTTCAGCGTGCAGACACTGCCTTTTTTGCTTTAGCTCACTTCTCTTCACCAACTTTCTTTCGCGGTAGATTTTCCATGTGCCGAGGTCCCTCTCCAAAAAAAGCCCACCGCGAGAGAAACCAAGGTAATCCATACTTCAACACAGCAGTCTTTGAGTTAAAAAGCGATTTTGTAGTAGCGCATGATTTAAACAAGAACAGGAATGTTGATGACCTTGCGGAGTTCCTTACGTTTCAGTTTAGAAAGCGCCATATCTGCAGCGACGTGGGGACGGCAACACCTGACGTCATGCAACCACAGTGACTGGAAGGCAGGGACCAAATATAGTTTTCCCACGACCGTTGCTTTTAGGAGCTTCAGCTCACAAAGTGACTCCTGCTTCGCAAAAACATGGTTTCGTTTCACAGTACGACGGCATGGCTGATACCCGGCACGCTAGCATCGGAGCGTCCGCACATGCTTGCATCTATCGCAACAAAAATTTTAAAAAGACGCGAAACGACTTATGAGACAACGAGAGCAACAAGAGACGGCGGGAAAAACCATGCAAGGGGAGTGGATGGACGATTGATGCAGGGTACTTTGTGTAGGGAGGCCGCTTGCGCCACCTAGCTCACCCATGCTCAATTATGGTTCTCAGTTTCGTTTCAGTTTTGAAAGGCGACCGAAATTGGTCCTTTGGCACGGGCTTGGCGCAGATTACTTTTATTTTGGCAAAATGTAGCAGGATGTATCAGGGTTAGCCCCTCAGCGCAGTTTGGCGCCAAGGGGCTAACCCTTGGCGCCAAATCACATAACTGTGCTTGACTTTTCCGTGTTTTGTGCAATGTGTGAAATTTTCGTCTGCTCTGCACAATCCGTAAAACAAAGAAAAAAACAAAAAAGAAAAAGCGTCCGAGTGTAGTCACGTGACTTCCAGTAACTCTCTCCTCCTCTACATTTCTTCTTCCTCCCTAGTCCAGTTTCAAAGTCGGTTTCGAGCAGCTGCATTTTTTTTTTATTATTATTAAAAATATGAAGGCACAGTAGCAAAATATTGATTGGGTAGTTTTTGTGACACCATATAAATATCCCTGGTAAAAATAAACAGTTTTTTGGGGGGTGTCAGTGTTCCTTTAAAGGGGTACTTTGGCGATTTTTTGAGCTACCCCAACATATTTTCTGAATTGCCGGCCCCTTCCTGGTATGCTATTTAGTATCGCCGAATTCAGAATAGTTATTGTGAAATCAGCAAATGAGAATGATGCAAAAGCCAACATTCAAATATACCCGCCCTTTTCAGCGCCGTGACGCCAGTGGCAGGCAGGCTTGCCAGTCGAGCAAGCAGTCTAAAAAACAGACTATGCCAAGCATTGGCTCTGTGCCGGTGCACGAGTACTCGGGTGAGCTTCCAAAGCATTCATTTGACAGAAGGAAACTGCTTAGAGCCAGTTGGGAAGAAATCCTGCAGTGATGGCGTCACTTTTTCGTCGTTGCCAGTAAACATTTTCAGTTTGAAAAACATGGTGATGACCAAAAGTAAGTAAATTAAGGGGAAACACTGGTCTTGGAGCTTTTTTTCTTATTTTACGACCAAACTCAATGAAACTGCACAAGCTTGTTCATCTTTTTGTGCTGATTTCCCATATCTGGTTATTTCCTCAGTCAGTAGAATTGTCCTGAAGATAATTAAAACTTGCCTGCCTTTGTTTGGAGGAATGATAGGGAAAAACTGCTCAACAAAATATAATCTTTAATACATGGCCAGATACTACGAAGTGTAAAGGATACAATGTTGGAAACACTTTTAGGATAAACCCATTATTAGTGATTTTACAACATATTGAAGTTCAGTGCTCAATGCATGGCTAACAAGTAATAAAACAAAAAATCAAATAAAAAAATTTCTAGACTTATATTAAAAAATCTGCTCTCTACATTGTATGCTTCACACATTTAGCTACAAATTTCAGGAAAGGTTATATTTCTGACTGCTGTAGATACTGAGATATCCCTCCTGCAAATTTTCAACGAGTCCAAAAATTGTGTTATGTGAAAACAATGTTTTAGAGCCAACTTTAATGCACATTCAGCCCGCATAGACATTATAAACTGATTTATAGCTCATATATTCATCCACGAAATTAGAAGCCTGGTAGATTGAACAACTGCCATCACCGTTTTCAAAAGAATGCAGTTTTAGGAAGTTGTTGGCTCCAAAGACCCATGTCCCCCCTTAAACAACTTCAAAACAAAGAAAAAAAAAATTTTACCTGTGGGATATTATTTGAGCGATGTTTGTTGGCGTGTTTAGAGAATTTTCAGGCAAATCGGGGACCACAAAGATATCGCTGGAGATATTGAGGTATTTGAAGCACAAAGTAGAGAGAGAAAAAATAGGACAGAAAAAAATGCTACTCACAATTGTAGGCTTACTGACAGGAAAAGAAAGACAGAATGATGTACCTGGACAAGTGCATCCACCACCAGCCTTGTGATCCTTAGTGGCTCATTCATCCCGGCTCATGTGACGCCTTCATCGTTCGTTAAAGGAATTCTCTTTCCTTGTTTGATACCGTCACAGAATCTACACTAATACAGTTCCTGTCTTCACAGAGAATGTGGAAGGCCTCCAGTACCTCGTGGGTCGATTTGTCGTTGTTCCTTCACAGATGTATGTCTCACCGAATACCGATCTGCACGTGCACTCCTTACAATGGATTGGGAGGTGTCTGCCCACTGTAGCCTTCAAGGAATAATCGTGCTCACGGAGTCGATCATTGAGGCATCTGCCCACAAGAGCTACATATTGCTACATAGGCAGTGTGTAATTCTGTGTAACGCCATTCTTTCTGGTTTCTTACAGACGCCCAAAGCGCATGGGAGAGATTGCTTTGCATGCTTCTTGGTGCACTTGTGTTTTGTAGTGCTGAAAAAAAAACACTCCCGAAAAAAATTCCTGGCTACGCCACTGCAGCTGGCTGTTGCGGGACAGCGTCGACGACCGACAACGCTTTTGTTTGGGGCCATGGTACAAGTACATTGACGATCGCTCCGAGATTTACTGACCCAAAAACGCGCTCTGCGCAAGACTTGGCCGCAGTTTCGGAGACACTGCTAGGAAGGGAGGTGCTTACAAAGTTGTGCGAGATGCTGGTGGTGACGGGAAACTTCTCCTTGATCTCCACCTGGATCTCGTCGTCCTCCAGGCTGGTGACGTCCTCGCCCCAGTCCACCGCCAGCCTGCACACAAGTCCCGGGTCACGGAGTGCCTGAGGGCTTTCCACGCTACGAGACGACTGGCGCTCGAGTCGTCAGTTCCTTCTTGGTGTACTAAACTGCTTTTAAACCTCTGACACGCGTACGCCGTGCACCAAGCCCAAACAAAATCGAACTCGGTGTCTCCGTCGAGCGTAACCTGCTCAAGGTGCAGTCGGTGTTTTTGCTACCTTCGTCCCACCTAGGGTTGCACGACGGAACAAGCCTCCTCGCAACTGCGGCTACGTTTGCGCGCGCACATCCCCGACCTCAATGGCTACGCCGTCCATACGTCGCGACTAAATCCAACGTAGATGAGGACTGTTATTACACTCAACGTGCCCAAACCATGCGAGGATAATGAGCAAGTGGACAGAGTACATTCGCGATGAAAGTCCTCTTTCTTACTGTCCTCGCGTGGTTTCGGCGCTTTGAACGTGATAAGGAACCAACTAGCCCAAACTTTTGTTTTAATGTATATAAAAAGATCCACTTTACGGCAACTGTCCAAAAATGACCGAATCCTTTCGTGTTAAAATGAAAAGCCTAAGAAAAATGTATGAGCACTAACGTAGTACTCTCAATAGGTGCTACGTGGAAACGCCTCAGCCATTCAATCCGGCTGGGTGTTCCAAAACAAAATATGTTATTTCGAGTGAGTTCACTAAAGGCCAAGAGACAGGCATGCGAGAAAAATGCACTCAGACTCGCGTCGTCAAGGATGAGGAGGCATGCAGCGAGGAGCGTGCGGTGCCAGGTGTCCCCGACGCATCGCCGACCGTCAAGTGCACCCTCAAAAGTGGTCTCTCGATCGAGGCGCGACGACAACGGGTTGTGCCCGTCTTGGAGGCAGCGCAACATGGGCATCGGGTTGTGGCACGACCGTCTACGGAAGCTGCAGCGGCCGGGAGTTCGGGGACGCTCTGTTTCGGCCACAACTCCTCCGACCAACCGCCGGGACCACTTTTGACGGGCGGGAAACAAACCGGCCCAAGACGCGTACTGTAGTGGCCCGGGGCAACGACGCGGAACTGCCGACAGGTAAAAGGTTGCTCACCTGGTGCTGCACTTGTAGACGACGCACATCTCGGTGGTGAGCTTGCGTCTCTTCATGGCCTTGGACAGTGCCTCCATCACCGTCTGGCCTGGCCGCACCTGGACCTGCGCACCCCAAAACGTCACCGCCTTTCCCATTGTCCTTACGAGAAAAAAAGATTCGTCCAAGATAATTGGTAAACGAGGATAAAACAAAAACGGGATTAGGACGTCGCGGAGATACATTTATGCCGAAAGCTCGTTAATTTGAATGTCACGGGCGGGCTGGAAGAACTCGATGCAAAGGCGGACTACCGATGGCCAAAGGGCCGTCGGCAGTCCGATGGGTGTCGGTACCGATAGCTCAAGGCAGAGGGTGGTATTGGGCGGGCCTGGAAATGCTTGAAGCTGTCGCCTTATACTCTCGGAAAAGGCCCATAATCTCCTCCTTTTGGTGAAAAAGCCGTCGGTTCGGTGTGCAGACGCAACGCGGAGTGCCCCCGTAACTTGCCCTGCTTTTCGTTCCTGTTCCTGGCCACAGCTCACAGGAAGAATGGCGTTATACAGAATTCAGCACATTCTAGAGAACAATGGCACATTCCACTACATGCAAACAGGCTTCCGAAGACACCTCGGGACTCAGGATAGTCTTTTGATGATCTACACAGATGTGCTGGAAACACCTTCCCAAGTTGATCCACGCATCGTTGTAGCAGTGGACGTCAAGAAAGCGTTCGACTCCGTACCACACAAGTCAATCATCGCCCATGGTATCCAAGGAGCACTACTCAACTTCATCAAATCCTCCTTGGAGAGACGGAAATTTACAGTCAAAGTGGAAAACACCGCAGGTCCAGAAACACCAAATAGGGTCGGAGTCCCTCAAGGCGTAGTCCTTTCACCTACGCTGTTCAACCTAGTCCTGGCCGATCTCTTGCCTCGCCTGGCCCGGATCCAAGACCTCTGCTTCACTATCTATGCAGATGATATCACAATCTGGACCAAAGGCGGAACGGTCGAAAGACAAGAAGCGGTACTACAGGAGGCACTGGACACCATCGTAGAGTTTCTGGATACCATAGGCATGTCTGCAGCACCAAATAAGACCTCATGCATAGTGGTGGGCAACCGATGCATTCAATCTCAAACAGAAACACCAAACATACGCCTAAACATGAAGGGAGATGAGATACAGAGAGTTGAAAGTTTGAGGATTCTCAGACTATTCCTTGATCAAGACGGAAGGCCCCATACCTGGATGAAGAGGGTAAAGAAAACCTGGAAGAGCACGCTGCACTTGATCAGAAGAGTGGCCACGAAGAAATGGGGAGCCACAGAAAGGGTAACACGTACCCTAGCCCTGGCACTTCTGACTTTGAAAGCACTCTATGCATACAATTACAATAGACTTACACAAACACAAGTCCTAAAACTTGAAAGGCTCAACAGGGAAGCTATGAGAGCAATTAGCGGACTGCCACGATTCGCAAAAATCAAAGACCTGCACATACACTTTAAGCTCAATACTCTCAAGGAGCGGGCAGACGCACTCAAGGACGCGCAACTGGACCGACTCAAGACCACAGAAGCGGGAAGAGCCCTACTGCAACATATTGGTTACGCAACGAATCACCTTCCGACGCTCCCAAACCGAAGCCTCGAAGATACAACCATGCAGCTTACTACATTTGCCCCACTGGCTCGCAACATGGGGAAGGACCACGAAAAGTGGCGGTTCCAAAGAGTCATGGACTACATCGACTTTGTTCGAGAGTACAGCAGAGATTCCACCAACCTGTACGTATACACAGATGCTGCACTGCGAGGAGACGGACAAGGAGCCATTGGATGATTCATGTGAAACTCCCAGATGACATGCAGCCAAGTACTCAAGGGTGAATGTAGCCTCAAGGAAGCCGAGCTACAAGCTATACTGACAGGAGCCAAACAAGCGGCCACACACTGCAACAATACAAAAGCCCTCTACAAACACGTGTAGGTATTCACTGACAGTAGGGAGGCACACGCAGAATGCGTAAAGGTTGACACCTATAACAACACTGTTTGACAGCTGCGAGAATTAGGCCAACAATTTGCAGATGAAGGATGCGTCCTTTGAATTGGATGGGTGCCGGGACACTCCGGCATATATGACAACGAAGAGGCCGACAATGCTGCCAGAACGGCCCTTGAAGCTGCACCTGCGAGGCCAGACCAGGAGCAACAGGAACAAAGTCAAGAAGGCGAAAATGATGTCCTCCCCATCGACCCTGACGAGTTCCTGTCGCAGGAAAAGACGAGGAGGCGCAAGACACTGACAGATCTGGTCCCTCAAGATCGGGACGGCGAACTACCGGCCGAATACAGCCGGAGCGACTGCGTTATCCTGCACCGGATCCGCACCAACATGGCAGTAACGCCTGCCCTGCAGGCTAAGCTGGACAGAGCCAGGCGAGTCCGACACCCCGATGAACCTGGGCCGGTTATCGACGTTGACTGCACTCGATGCGGGAGCAAGAGTCCAGCAACTACCGTATTTACTCGCACAATGAACGCACTCGCGTAATGAACGCACCCCCCAAGTCGGCTCTCAAAATTTCGACTTTTTTTTTCACTCGCGTAATAAACGCACCCCCAACTCGGACGTCAAAATTTTGAACCCCCCCCCCCCCCCCACGCGCGCGAAATGAACGCACTTTTTTTATCCTGGTGCAGCGAGGTCGCGAATGCATGGGCAGCGTGGGCGAACAAAACGCCTTGCAAAAGGCGTTAAAAAAATTCGCAAAGATCCAAGGGAAGCAAAAAAGAAAAACATGGAGAGGAGCTTTTTTTTTTTTTTTTTTTCCACAGCGCTGTTTGGATTTTGGGTTCGTGCGCCGCCGCGCGACAGGAGGTAAGAAAGACAAGCGGAGAAGCGCTCTAAGCGAACAAAACAACTTGCGAAAGGCGGCAAAAAGAAAACAAAACCAGAGGAACGTTTCCTTTTTTTTTTTTTTTTTGCACAGCGCAGTTTGGTTACGGGGGGGGGTCGCGCGCCGCGCGCAATGAGGTAAGAAAGAGGAGCGGAGAAGCCCTCTAAGCAAACGAAACAGATTGCGAAAGGCGGCAAAAAGAAAAAAAAAAACACTGAACTGAGAAAAAATAAAAAAAAGGTTTTTTTTCTTCTTTTTTACACAGCGCAGTTTGGTTACGGGGGTCGTGCGTCGCGCGCCGCGAGCAAGGAGATAAGAAAGATAAGCGGAGAGCCCTCGCCTAAGCAAACAAAACAGCTTGCGAAAGGCGGACAAAAAAAAAAAAAAAAACCCAAGGAACTAAGAGAAAAAGAAAACAAAGAGGATTTCTTTTTTGCACAGCTTAGGTTACGGGTCGGGCGCCGCGCGCAAAGAGATGAGAAGTTCGATTTTTCAGGATAAAAGGTCCGTTCATTATGCGAGTAAATACAGACACAAAACTTTTACTTCGCATAATGAACGCACCCCCCAACTTTGCCTCGATTTTTCGGAAAAAAAAGTGCGTTCATTCTGCGAGTAAATACGGTATATCACATCTTCTCTGGCAATGAAGAGCCACTGTACGGCCAAGGCGGGCCACCATATACGACCTCCCCGCTTGTCATTGACCCGAAACTTTCGTAGAGTGGACGCGACCAGGGGCGACATACAGCACAGGAAGATCGTGCTGCACTCTCTGCTTAAGTTCATTCGAGAAGCCGGTATCTGGCACTATTTTTAAACATTTCATCCTCATCGTATTCGCCATCTCTCACTCCTCATCTTCCCCACAAATGACGTAAGGTCAAGGTGGTGGAAAAATCATTAAAATATGTCTTAAACAAACATACAAATAATTTGTTCTTGACCCAGGTAGCAAAACATGTCCCTACAATGGGATGAACCTTACTTTTGCGAGATACTTCATTGTTTTCTACAGAAAAAACTGCATCTGAGAGGAGGTAAAAACAACAACTTTCCCCAATTGCGTCTTGATGCAAATTTGAGGAACGAAAAATTTGACTTTCTACACCGTCAATACTTTAATCAATGACGCACACAAACTGGTTTACTAGATAGAGGTAATTTAAAATTACTTGACATTATATTAAAAAAGAAATGGCATATAAAGTACAACAGGTGACAAAGAGAAAAAAGTTGTTTTTTAATTAATGTCAAAAATTTATGCTTTCTTGATAATGACCGCCTGTTTGCAAGCCAGTATCTAAACAATTTCTTTAATAAATTTTTGACATGTATATCATGTGGTAGCTGCAAGTAAAGCAAATATAAAAAATATTTTGACCATGCGAAATATTTTATGATACACGTCTGCAATTTTGCAGATTCGCTAAAAACTCCGCCGATTTTTTTATGGTCTTCGAGTTGACTGGAAATTGGCAGACGCATCAAAACCCCTTTCACAACTGATAACCAAAATACATTAAAAAAAATATATATATTTTTTCCCCCTACAGTTACTGAATTTAAGTTATCGGCGGGCAGGCGGACCAGCGACCCCGGCAGCCGCGAAGTGGCTTTCCAGGCGCCAGCAATCGAGATAATTTTTTTGCAGCTTCAAGGTTGCAAGATTCTTTGCAATGGGTGGCAATCTGTACCCTGCAGTAGATTGTACAAACAGTGCTGGAAAAAGCTTCCTTTTACCCTTGCTTTCGTGGGAGAAAAAAAATGGGCACCCCGGCATCAGTGGAGGCTAGCCACGTCAAAGTGCTTTTGCGTGAGCTGTGCCGAGAGAATTAGTGCCACATGAAGCATTCTCACAAAAAGTTTGAAATAGTCTGCAGAAAAAGTTTCAGCCCAAAAGTTCAAAAGGTCTTAAAATTTGCCAAAAAATGCCTTAATATGCAAAAGTTGCTCAAGAAGGGTAGATTGTTGGGCTAGTTGGTTTTGGAACTTGGAATATATTTTAGCGCTCAAAAACAAGGACAAAAAGACAAGAATCAGACATTGCAGTGCACTACTAACAGCTGATTTTATTACATAAAACAACACAAGAAGCCAAGATTTTTTTTTTTTTTTTTTGTCTTTAAATGTAATTTTAAAGTAACTCAAACCACTAATTCTAGTAAACCAGTTTGACGGCATAGAAGGCTTCTATTCCCGGGGGCTGTGAAAGTTTTGTTAATGTGCGCTTGGGAAAGTTGTTGGTTCCAGCTCGTCTCAGACGCAATTTTTTCTCATGGAAACGAAGACGGACCTCGCAAAAGTAAGGTCTAACCCAGGGGTGGCCAGGCTCGCCTAGCCTAAGAGCCGCAAACAAAACCACGGAACTGCAAGAGCCGTGGGGGGGGGGGGGGCAAATTTCACTTTTGTTTAGAGTCTGACTGCACGTATGGGGGCACAAGGCTCTACTACTGTAGGTATGGGGGTACAAGGCTGTCAAACTGCAAGCTGCAGTGTGCTTTACTCTGAAATCCTTTCTTTTTTTTTTTCCTGGGGAAACACGGAAGAAGCAAAAGGGGGATGGAAGTGTCCCTTACAAGGGATCCGCGAGCCGCACTTGGACCAACAAGGAGCCGCATGCGGCTCGCGAGCCGCGGTTTGGCCACCCCTGGTCTAACCCATTGTGAGGTCATATTTTGCCACTTCATATGAAAACAGATACAACAGTTGTTATCCGAACAAGAGTGACCCAGGAAGCTCTAAGCTGACGGGGCAGTAAAGGCACGAGCCAGCCCGTGCTCCCAGCTTGTATGCTTTTCTAGCGCCAGTGCACATTTCACCAAACTTGAAAGCCACAAGTGTCGAGACCCCGTCAGAAAAAAATGAAAGCCGTTTACAACTCCCTGTCATGCCAAATTAGAGCACAGCTCTTGAGGAGGAGGAGGGAAGGGTACTGAGGGGGGGGGTCATGTGACCTCGGGGGGGTACGCGAGGTCCTCCCGAAGGAATCCGAGGTCCTCCTGAGGTCGTCCCGAGGTCCTCAGGGGGGGGGGGGGGGGGGGGGGAGGGGGGGGATCGCGGTTACGCCGACGCCGCTCAAGCCGGAAACAGGTGCCTAAGAGCTGCGCTCTAAAAACCTAGGACTCTTGTTTAACCCAGGATGAACTGGTAGAAAAGTGAACTCGCCATAACACGAGTGTATGAATAGTAAACCCCATTGTGGTCCATATATCACAGCTTAATCGTGCCACCCAAATTCAGAATAATTTGGACGTGCCCCAGGCTTGACACTAGCGAGTTGCAACATTTAATCGCGATTCTCTTTGAGGAAACCAAGTGCATTGGGAAGGGGGCTATATACGCAAGGAGTGAAAAGTGTTTTGCGTACCACGCTGCTGCTCAAGTTGTAGACTACATCTTGTGCCAAAAGTTGCTAAACAGTGCTCAAATTTTTGGACTTGCAAAAAACAGTAGCCGAAAGATTTGAGTGCAAGAAAGACCATTGTACCAACTCTGCCATTTTCTTTGCCAAACCAAGGTGAAGTTATTACTGCGTATTCCTCCATTGGGCTGAAACATTATTGTAAGTAAAACAAGCAGGAAGAAAAAAAGGGAAAAGTTTAGGAAACTCTTAGTGTGTCAGGCATTGTTTCAGTCCATTCATTTTATTGCAACAGTGAAATAAATAGGTTGATATGCCTATGAATATGTCAAATATAAACAAGTCTTTAAACCCAGATCATCAATGAATTGGCGGCGACCCCTTGCATATCAAAAGTTCAATCACTGTCGTGGTTAGCGAAATAAAATTTATGTTGCCATAAGTTGTCCCACTAGTCAATTTTAGAATGTCACAATATTATATGAGCTCTCTGGGTACCCGCGGCACTACTCACTGAAACTGGTTGCGAGATTATCCGCAATATTTCGGGTGGTCAAAATTGATCTGAGGGCTTTTACAAGGACTGCCTTAGATCCTTTCAAACATGCGCAATTATATTCTGACCAAAGAGAGGGCCGTGCTATTTGCTGGCTACCAAAAGCCTCTAATCTTTGTCCCCATGTTGCGTAGCACCGTCTACTGAAACATACGCCAAGCTCAACCTTATTTTTGTTGCATCAACTGACTGCGTCGAGTCACCTCTTTTTCCTACCTTGTGACGTGCAAGTTCCTAATCGTGTACCGCGTGCGGCATGCGTGTCTGCTCGTAAATCTTTTTCCACTCTAGAGGGCCAAGACTCAACCATTACGATTATAGATTGACCCCAAATTTGAAATACCAGTTCCGAAAAAATGTTCGCCTAGTTATTTAAGAAATGCGATAGTTCTCGTCACTCGTGAAACTTGGCATAAAATAAAGTGCCGAGTGAGAGCCGACAGCCGCTTACGGGCCCCTACGAGTGTTCTGGGTTCTCGGGGAAGGCAATGGGTTCACCCACTGCTCCCAAAAGGAAGTTGGCCGCCAGAAAGCCTTACCGTGGTCCTCTGCTGGTTGGGCAGGAAAGCTCGGACCACCGACTTCATGGGCGACCTGGGCACCTCCTTCGCCTCACCTGCGGGGAGAGCCGTGTCAAGGCACCTTCTCGCCAGTCACTGCCCCAAAAGGAACAGCATTTGCTCGTGCTCACAGCTAGTGCAATGGAAGCCTCGCTAATGGCCTAAATATTCGGAATTCAGAAAGCACCGGAGCTGCCGCGAGTTTCTGACCGCATAAAAGTGAGAGACTCCGACATCCCTAGTGTGACCAGACCCGTGTCATGCGCCGACGCTCGTTCCATGTAACTGAACAGTTACAAAGCCAGCATTCCAGGTAACGTTTGCGTGCGTATCCTACAGGCTGTAGGGGTTCTCCCACACGCGAGAGTTACTCTCGGCACCCCGGGGAGTTCCTCGAGCAACCCTGGTGGGCGAGGTCACCCTTCGAGCACCGAGCAACCACGGCCGAGCCACGGCTACAGCCATGGCAACCATCGCGTGGCAGATGCCCTAGCAACGTTTCTCTGGACTGTTTAGGCGTGACACGACACAATCCCTTGAGGCTCGAGGTACCGCAAAAGCACCAGCAGAGAACCGAATCCAGGGTACGGTCAGGGAAGACTAGAGGCACCGACTAGTGTACAAAGAATGTTGAAAGAAGCAAGGACAAGTCGAGTGAAACATGGTGCAACTCGAGTTTGTTATTAAACCATAGTACGAATGAAAGCCACCTTTGAGCCTTAGTTGTACTCAGTCCGATAAAAAACTTGAACGCGAATATTAGACAGAAATCTGTCTCGGGGAAAGAATAATGAAAAAGCGGGGGATCCAATCAAGCCCTAGAATGTTTCCAGGCCTAGTCTTGTGGAATCTCTGGTTTGCTAATATTGCAAAGCCCGTTGATGTAGGCCAATGGTGCCGAGGGGCCTACCCATGTTTTCTGGCATAGTTCAAATGATTCCAAAGACAGTCGGTATGTTCGAGTCAATCCTTGGCGTCGTAGTGTTCAGTGACCGCTCGTGATCGTCCTTCTAATGCTGGCAGATCCTCTCTTGAAAGGTTTTGCCCACGTACGTTGCTGGACGATCCCTTAAACACTTGAACGTAAACATATTCGACGCAAGTCCATCTGGTTGGGTCTAAGCTATGAAAATAAGGTATGATCACCAACCCCTAAAGATTCAGGGTCCCTACGTTTCCAGACCGATTTGGTTTCTTCTTCGGGGGTTGACTCTTCACAAACAAGGAGCCCCCCCTTCTCCCTATAGCAGTCAAAATCATTCATATAAACATAAGCAATACGTCACAATAAATACCAAGAAATAGACGCAAAGATCACAAAAAAATCCTGAAACAAAAACAAGAGAAAACTGCATTCATTGACATTAACATCGTCATTATCAACAATACCATCCAACACACGTCTGACATTACATATCACAACACTTCATAACACCATGAAAGGAAGATATACCATTGAAGGCACTATATCGCAATAAGCACACAGAAAAGTCACATTCTTTTACAACAATCTAAGGTAGGCGATCAGCTTCAAAAAAACGTGCTTTGACTTTTTTGCCAAACGTTGTGGATTGTTCTACATCACTGTGCTATTCATACAATGCTTGGGTGTTTATTTAATAGGTCAGGAATTCGGTAATCTAGTTTTTGAGTTCCATAGTTATTTCTACTGTTCGGTTTGGTATAATTGGTACACCTGAGATCGTATTCCTCATGTTTATGAAGATAAGTATCAAAGAAATATGTCTCATCTTGCTTGATCCTATCAAATATTATGATCACCAATTTATGTGAGAGGACATGTTCTATTGGTACTAATAACTTGCATTTTTCAAATGCTCGGTGTGGTCTAAATTGTCAACAAAGTTTATAGCCTTCTTTTGTAAAAGGCTGTAAGTGTTAAGCTTCAACGTGGCAGCAATGAGGCTACCTGTGCCGGTAATGGGTGCAACCCTGAAAAACAAGAACAATTATTAAAAAAAAAAACGAATTCCATGGCATGCTGTTGACAAGAAAAAAAAAACAAAAAAAACAAAGGTCCTTGGTGTGCCACTAACAATGAGCATTGAAATCATTAGGTATGCATATATATATAGGCCATATTTGAACAGTGATCATGCATCAAAAATAATACAAGCTGATAAAGACTGAATCTGTCATGCACAAAACACACCTCGTGTGTCAGTTGTGCCGGATTTTTCGTTTTTTGATTATTTTATTTTTTTACTTATTATTCTTATTTAAAACGTTCCGCTCTTGCCAGGACGTTTGCATTCAAATAAAATGGTTACCTTCAAGAGCAACTGTGCAACACAGCTCAGTGGCTCTGGTATCCGACTGCGACTGCACCAGGTTCAAGCCTTGCTCAAATTATATATATAAAGTGTGAACTGTACTCCCTCCAACGTGCTCTGCTACCTGTACCTGTACTTAGGTGAGCTCCTGGTAGGTATTTATATGAACTTAGTTTTTCTAGGCTTGAATCTATAATTTTGTAATTGTTATGATGCGTCTTTGTAATTGAACTGAAAATCCACTATTTGCACATTCTTAGAAACTGTACTTTCAAGCTGTATGACTGGAGTGTTCATTCCGTGCACAATATGAAATTTTACAGTGGAGCTGTTAAGGTTAAGGGCTAGTTTCCCGAGGAACGTGTGCCCCGCAAAGAAATGTCGACACAAAATTCTGGTTGCCGCCGTCACTCATAGATGGTGGTAGCTGTCCAGAGTGTTGTGGCTGCCGGTTGTCCGCTTGTCGCCGTCACTCATACGTGGCGCAACCTTTCCAGCCTTTCCACTCTGGCTTGCCGACTTGCGGCCGGCCATTACTTCACTCCCCCCATAGTACAGATTCGCTGGACTCCCTTCTTCACCAGAGTGGAAAGGCTGAAAGTTTTTTTTCGTCAAACTCTGCAATTTTTTTGTTTATCCCATCGACACTAGGCTCAGTCAGAGCCCGGCTGCTTCTCGTTGATTTTATTACACGAGCGATTTAATTTTGCTCTACTATAGTCGGTTGCAACTCAAGAAGGCAGGGTGAGGGTAAGACGGGGGGAGGAGGAAGCAGACAAGAAGCTGGAGGAGGAGGAGGTTTCCCTCTCTCTTCTTCAGCGTTACGTCTGCTGCCTCCTCCCCGGCCTGTCTTACCCTGACCCTGCCTTCTTGAGTTGCAACGGACTATAGCACAGACCCGAGCATTTCATACAGAGTCACAGAGTTGGGTCCTGGATTTTCCTCAACGCCACCGGCAAGAAGCAGAAGAGAGACAGACTGTTTAGCTGTCCTTAAAAAGTAGGCAATGGCTCCGGTTTGCTCGTACCCGTACCCGTGCCAGTCTGACCCGAAGGAGGAACAAAGGTTTGCAGGGATTTTGCCATGGCCAGAGAAGGTCTCACCCGTGGAGGGTACCCGGGGCCCCTGAAGCGGCGCGGTGCAGGGCTCCTCCGAGTCCGTGTCGCAGGGGTCCGGGGAGCAGCTGCCGTCCAGCTGACACAGCCGCTCCAGCAGCGTCTGCTCCCGCAGCTGGAACTCGTTCAGTCGCCCTGTCAGGTCTTCGTACTCCTGCGGCGGCCAAAGGTCCCCCTCGACGTCCTTAACCGCACTTTCCTAGCACCGCCTCCCCAGTTTCATCACTACCACCACTGGCCCTGACCTCTTCCTAAGTATTATTTAACAATTTTCAAAACAACCATCAACACCCGTTACACTTTGACAATGTATAATGCCTTCGAGCATCGAGTGCATACCGTCGACTCTAAGTAATTCGGTCATTTTATTCTGTTCGTTTAAAGCAGGGGTGCAGTTCTGACAAAGACACATACCAGCCTATGAGGGAGACACACGCGGAAATTTAGAGTTAACCTCAGGGACCGGTTAATTCCGAGGATATTTGTCGCGCTCGAGAAGTCTACTAACACTCGGAGCATGAAAGAGCCTCACAATTATACCGACCAAACTTAAATGGCACCCATGCACACTCCGTTGCTTTTACCTACCATGTTTAGAAAAAGAAAGAACAAATACAGTGCGCAGCTAAGTTACATCGAGCCAAGCTGAGCCAGCATGGCTTCAGGCGCGCTCGTCGAGGCACCATTCCCACACAAGTTACGCGTGTGGCCAACAAAGCTGGGTTGGAGGCTACACCCAGCCCCACGAGATGTCCGTCTAATATATTGACGTCAACAAACGTGGTCCGTAGTCTGCGCAAGTGATTAGGCCTAGGAACGGTCCCTTTCCGTGCCTGGTTGCCCCCAAAACTGCTTGCAGCACCACGAAGTACAATTGTGTGTTTTCTTTGGCCACAAAACTGCTGCCCTAAGGTTTGCAATTTGCAGGACATATTTAATACTCCGCGTCTTCGTTAGCACCGCGCAACTCCATTAGCAAAGGCAAGCAAAAATCAACTTCTCCCAGTAAGTGTTGAATAAAAAGCAAGCGGTCTGAATGTATCTTTTTCAAAACATGAAATGCTTTTTAGCACTACCCTTTAATCCCAAAATTTTGTCTGTCTGTCCGGCCGTCCCTGCATTTCTCACTAAGCGGGGAAGTTGATATCACGAGACCTACACACAAATTTAGTTTCTCAGCTAAATTTAGCGTGAAAATTGATGTCACGTGACCCAACGTCACGAGACATACAGACCAACTCAGTTTCCCTGCTAAATTTAGCAGCAAAATTGACATCATGTGACTTAGACACCAATCCTGTTTCCCCGCTAAGTTTGGCGGGAAGGTGGCATCGCATGACCTATACATCTTGGTGAAATTGACGACAGAAGATCTACACAACAATTCAGTTTCCTCGTTAAATTTAGCGGGAAAATTCACGTCTTGCGGTCAAAACATCAATTCAGTTTCCCCGCTAAATGTAGAGGCAGATTATATGTCATGTGACACACCGATTCCAGCACCAGTTCCCTATGGCCTCCTGGCAAAGCAGAGGCTGCATTTCAAATTCGACTCGATCACGCTCCGGGTAAGGACATTGCGTCATCTGGAAATCTACTGGCGTCCAGCGTCGCTCCCTCTCTGTATTGCGTGAGCACTTGGACCTACCTGGGCGAGATTTGGACGAATGAAAAGCATGTTTGGCAGCCTCTGGCAGATATACGCTCCGTCGTAAACTGTCATACAACGAGCATTTGAGAACTACCGGCGTGCTTCGGCCGTAAGGTGGCGTCCAAACAAAACTGTCACCAATTTCGGCAGCCCGCCGATTTGTGCGGTAACGGGGAGTCCGACTCGCAGGTGCGGACGCTTCAAAAGGTCAAACAATTCACCGCCTGCCTTCCTCGCGAGAAAAATAGTCTCAATACAGCTAAACTGAGATTGTGGAGGGGTTTCAGAAAAGTAGCAATTGAATTAGGAATGGTCCCGAAATGACGCTAAAATGAATCCAAAATAGACTGATTAGAGGAGGCTGGACGTCGTGTCTGAGTCAACATGTGCCTCGGTCCGCAGGTTTTGTTGTAACGCCCATCTTGCGAGGGTGCCACCCGCTATGCCAAGAAAGTGGCACAGCTCCACTGCCAAACTGCCACCCGCAGGAAGCAGACTTTTCCCACCCCGACAATGGGTGTCGGAAACTAAAAGATGCAGATACGACACCATGCCAAAGTGTTGGGTGTCTCCCGCACATTATTCTCCCAGGAACCATTCGTTCGGGCCACACCGATGCCCTGAGCTCACTGCTGCGCAGTTCCGGAACCTCCTAAAAATGGTCGCCTTTCCACCACTTGTACGTGCGGGTTAAAAATGCTGGTCCATTCCAAGGTGGGAACAGGAAACGCCTCTCACATTCCACCTATGTGTGGCTGAATGCTTGCATATTGAAAAGCTGACAACTTGAGAAAGCTCTAGAATTTCAGCAACCTTAGACCAACATCGGGTTTGCTAAACTTCAATTTTCTCAAGCTTTTCCTGCCACCCCCTATGACCTTATCAGATATCTCTTTTTCATCTATTACAAGTATGGGTTGAATTCCCAAAGAACTACCATAAAATCCCGAAAATTGCCCCACCCCCGAAAGGTAACCCACCCCTTATTTTTGGCTCAATGTTCTATTTTCTTTTTCAACACCGAAAGATAGCCCATTATTAGTAATTCTAGTGTTCGGATCAATGATGTCCTTGGCATAAATGTGTCTAGTTAGCTATGGCGGGATATAAGCGAATTTCCCTGACTGGGAAGCTTTATCTTTGCTTTATTGCCCCTCAAAAAATAGCATTTTTTCAACTTTTCTCGATTACACACCGAAGTTAGCCCACTCCTTATTTTCACCCAATTTTCTCTCAATTTTAAGTGGGCTATCTCTCGGGATTTTACGGTAAGCTGTATGGTACAGCTAGTTGTACTTGTGCAATCATGTGCAAGTTTACATCGGCTCTAACATGAAATTATGGCCTCGAGATTGAATGCATAATAAACACAATATCACTCGAGAGAAATACTAAAAGCCATTCATAGTGGCGCTCTTGCCAAAGACCGATAGAGCTTTTCTGGTTTATTTTATTACAAAAGTTATCCCAATAACTAAAATAAGCAACAACCCATCTGAGGCGAGCATGCTACAGGAACTCTGACACTGCAGCATTGGCCCAGCCATTTCCAGAGTGTTGCCACACACTTTCCCACCAGACAAGCAGGTCTCTGCAGGCGAAACCAAGGGGAGTATGTCTTCATCTTTATGCATTTTCTTGCCCTTGGTATATATGTACAGGGTGTTTTTTTGTTTTTTTTTGCCTTTACAGATTAAAAACAAAGTGCTAACGCTACAGAGGTCTCTGCTGGTTATTTTACGGAGTTAATCGTCACAACAAGGTGTAAGTAACTAAAATTGGTAAATTAACTTTTCAATTAGTAGAAATAATTATATGGTTCCAAAGAGTAACTTGCCAAGCCTCATCGAAAACCACTAAATCTGTCAATTGTAGAAAGATTTGGTGCACATGCTTCGTTTTCCCGGGTTCTAAAAATGCAACCAACTTTGACTATGTGCTCGCACGGTGTATCTGTCTTATCATTCGCTTTTTTGCACTGCCAGCCTTGTACCTGTAGCACAAGTGCTACATGTGCAAGACGCATCCCTGCACCTCCCATGCGCTTCGAGTCTTTCTCAATTTTGTTGATATAGTGGTTTTTAACGATGCTCAGCAAGTTTCTAATTGGAATCATACCGTAGAATATACCTCGCATCCGCCCATTCCACACTAAGTGCCCATTCCCAAATTTGCAAAAGATCTGAGAAAATATGCACAGTAGATTGATGTGTAAAATTGATGACCAGACAAGCGCCCATCCCCCATTTTTTCGCGATTACCTCTAAATCTTGAGTGGGTACTTGCCCAGTATTTTAGGGTAGGTTCATTTTCACTAATTATTCATTTAATTTTATTAGAGAAAGATTAGCATGAGAAAGTTAATAAAAAAGTTTTAGCTAAATTATCCAAGTTATCGTCACAGTTATCCTCCTAAATAATGTCCCTCTGGCTGTGTAACCTACTCGCATAAACAATGTTAGTGCAGCTTTCGTCAATTTTTTAAAACAAATCTGTAAAGCCTAACCGAATACCTGCTGCTTTCCAAAGTGTTTGTTTTGTTTTCTTTTAGTTGTAGCGCGTTTTACGAACAATACGGTCAAATCCATTGATAACTCTGACACATACATTAGTTGGATACTAGTGCAGCAGGGGCGAATTTCAGCTGACAAAAAGCATAGTTAAAATTTCAACTTTTCAATGTGCGTACTTGGTTGATCATGGTTTAGAAAATATGGTATACATGCTCCACTAGAGTATTTTATTCCTGCAAGTGGACTGGTAGACTTGGCATCTAGAACAGCAAAATATAATATCTTAGAGTTCACTTCATCCGTATGTTCATCCCTTTTTGTGGAAGTTAGTATGCACAGGTTCTGAGGCATAGTGAAGCATTTGACCCATTCTGTCCCACTCCACACACACATAAAAACAATGTCCGACCGTGCGGGATGGTGACGCAGTTCCACCCGTTCCTGTCTGCAAACACTCGAGAGGAACCCCACCGTTGCTACTTCCAAAAAGCAAAACCTGGCCGGGAAAGTTTGCTCGTTTGGTGAAGTAGTGCGTCGTTTTGTTGATTGTAACGTTACGGGTTACCTCAGACACAGCAAGTTACTTTGGGTCACACGAGACACCATCCATTTCTTTGTACGATCGGGAATCGAGTAAAACGAGTAGGAAGAACATATTGTTGAATTAACAGCGCAAATACGACAGGAAGGAGAGATAAGGGAGACAGGATAGAGCGCTGAACTAACAACTGACGTTTAATAAAAAGAGAAAGAGGAAGAAGAACCGAAGAATGCTTTTAAAACATGCATAATGAAAACCCGCAAAAACATATGCTATAGCTTGAGTTGCCTGAAAATGAATTGCTAAGAATACCAAGCTTTAAGCTGGTCGCTTAAATGACTTGTTGAAATCGATTGAGTCCTGGGACGACGTGAATAGAAATTCCGGTAGAAAAAAGAAAGAGGAAGTTTACGTTTAAAATATTCACCGAATCTAAGGACCGTTAAAGATCGCGACTTAAAAAGTAAAGTTCCTTTTGTGACAAGGCCACGGACGGCGCGCTTACGCAGGCATCCCCACAGGACAGAATAACCTGTGCCTCGTAGAGCTCGCGAGTTCGTCGTTCCCCTAAACGTTTCAGGATTTTTGTTTTCCTGAACAAGGCGGAGCACTGGCAGTCCCTGACATGTATGGCAAAGTGGCCTGATGGTGACGACTTTAGTGACACGGCATGTTCTCTTAGACGATCGTTGACACACCTTCCTGTCTGACCCACATACACTTTCCCACAAGTAAACGGTATTTCGTAAACGACCGCACATTGGCATTCGACGTATCTTTGTTGATGTTGAACTCTGCACCCATCTTGCTGCTGCTGCTTGTTGTTAATTTTCGGACACAACTTCTTTAGTTTGTCCGGTGCAGACAACACGACTTTGACGTTATACTTCGATGCAATCTTCTTAAGGTTGTGGGAAATCCGGTGAATGTATGGAAGCACAGCCGGTCGGATATTTGTGTCCCTTTGTATCGTCTGTCGTCCCCGTGTGGTGATAATAGACTCGGCGACGTCATACAAGATGGAACTCGGGTAGCCAGAATCTTGAAGACGCTGCACTTGATCATGAAAGCTTTCCCCCGCTGAATGTACACAGGATTTCTTTAGCGCCGCATTTAGGGAGTTTTTTACAATTCCTCTCTTAATAATCTTCGAATGTGCCGAATCGTATTGCAGGAGGCCTTTCTTGGACCTTGGGGAGTACTTCCAACAAGTATGATGTTCAAAGAAAGACAGTCGTAGATCCAAGAATTGAAGGACGGTGTTAACAGGTAACTCATGTGTGAACTTGAGTCCTTGTCCTTTTTCAGAGAAGGTGGATTGTATGGTGTCAAATATTTGTAATTCGTTGTCTGCCGGACGTTGTGTGAGGAGAACCAGGTAGTCGTCCACGTACCTAAAAATACGGGAAACTTGGCCGATGGGGAGGGCATTAGCAATTGCCCGATCACACTGCGATAGAAAAATATCGCAGAGGACCGGAGCCACGCACGACCCTATACATATTCCTTTCTTTTGCAGGTAAGTCTTGCCCTCAAACGCAACGACCGTGGCAGAAAGGTAGAATTGCAAAAGTTCTAGAAATGATTCTTCCGAAATTCCACAGTCGTTTTGAAAGGACGTGGTTCCCTTTGCCTCAATAGACTCTTTGACGGCTGCAGATTCTATTCTGTCGCTATCAGATACGGTGCAGTTCCACCGGACCTACAAGGTGTGTTCGGCTCAGCAAGACCATCCCAACATCATGCCAGGAGGGTCTGCAAGATTGTCCGCGCTGAGCTGTGGAGGCAAGTACGGTTTTACCGAACGTGCCTCTGGGTGCTTGCTGGCGGTGGGGATCCTGGCGGTGGCCAAGGACGACGACACAGGTCCTTCCTGGATGCAGCAAGTAGGGCGACGGAATTCCTGTGGTCGTCTTATGTACCACTCATAAAAGGCCTCCGAGTACAAAACACCAAACGGAAAGGAGAAAGAGTGACCTTGGTGGGAGACACCATTCTACCCGTAGAATTAAGCAAGATACTTGAAAAAGGACCGAAGTTTTGCACAGCCCCAAAACGCCAGAGAGTTCAGCTGTTGTCTAACATCCATGACATAGCTAATAAGGCTCACGAAAGTGAAAGAACCCGATGTATTGAGGACAGTGTCGACGTGCTCTTACGATCTATGCCAGATAGCAGTCGAAAGAAGATGAACATGTCTCGTTTAGTTGAATACTTCATCGCAAACGACTTAAACCTGCTGGTGTCTGATAAGGAAGGGGGCTTTGTGGTTATATCGAGGACAAACTACCTGGAAAAGGCAGGAGTAGCCATAGACAAGAACTTTAACCATCTAGAAGTCAAAACCAAAAAGGTGAAGGCCATGGCGCTCCAACTGTGCACCAGGCTTGAGTTGATGCAAATGAAGAAGCTGATATCGACTACCAAAAAAGATCATTTAGACATGTTTTTTACAGCCAAAACCCACAAGGACGGTTGTCCTTTTCGGGTCGTTGTCACTGAAAAGGGTTCATGGCAAGGGTTCATGTCACGCTTCTTACTTCGTCACCTTTCTAACCTCGTACTGAATGATCCATTTCTGATACCAAACTCTGAGGAGGTTATACAGTACCTTCAGCAGGATACATCGACAGTCAGGTACGGATTTTCGCTCGATGTTGAAGACCTGTTTTATTCGATCCCGCATTCAAAATTATTTGCAGCCGTCAAAGAGTCTATTGAGGCAAAGGGAACCACGTCCTTTCAAAACGACTGTGGAATTTCGGAAGAATCATTTCTAGAACTTTTGCAATTCTACCTTTCTGCCACGGTCGTTGCGTTTGAGGGCAAGACTTACCTGCAAAAGAAAGGAATATGTATAGGGTCGTGCGTGGCTCCGGTCCTCTGCGATATTTTTCTATCGCAGTGTGATCGGGCAATTGCTAATGCCCTCCCCATCGGCCAAGTTTCCCGTATTTTTAGGTACGTGGACGACTACCTGGTTCTCCTCACACAACGTCCGGCAGACAACGAATTACAAATATTTGACACCATACAATCCACCTTCTCTGAAAAAGGACAAGGGCTCAAGTTCACACATGAGTTACCTGTTAACACCGTCCTTCAATTCTTGGATCTACGACTGTCTTTCTTTGAACATCATACTTGTTGGAAGTACTCCCCAAGGTCCAAGAAAGGCCTCCTGCAATACGATTCGGCACATTCGAAGATTATTAAGAGAGGAATTGTAAAAAACTCCCTAAATGCGGCGCTAAAGAAATCCTGTGTACATTCAGCGGGGGAAAGCTTTCATGATCAAGTGCAGCGTCTTCAAGATTCTGGCTACCCGAGTTCCATCTTGTATGACGTCGCCGAGTCTATTATCACCACACGGGGACGACAGACGATACAAAGGGACACAAATATCCGACCGGCTGTGCTTCCATACATTCACCGGATTTCCCACAACCTTAAGAAGATTGCATCGAAGTATAACGTCAAAGTCGTGTTGTCTGCACCGGACAAACTAAAGAAGTTGTGTCCGAAAATTAACAACAAGCAGCAGCAGCAAGATGGGTGCAGAGTTCAACATCAACAAAGATACGTCGAATGCCAATGTGCGGTCGTTTACGAAATACCGTTTACTTGTGGGAAAGTGTATGTGGGTCAGACAGGAAGGTGTGTCAACGATCGTCTAAGAGAACATGCCGTGTCACTAAAGTCGTCACCATCAGGCCACTTTGCCATACATGTCAGGGACTGCCAGTGCTCCGCCTTGTTCAGGAAAACAAAAATCCTGAAACGTTTAGGGGAACGACGAACTCGCGAGCTCTACGAGGCACAGGTTATTCTGTCCTGTGGGGATGCCTGCGTAAGCGCGCCGTCCGTGGCCTTGTCACAAAAAGAACTTTACTTTTTAAGTCGCGATCTTTAACGGTCCTTAGATTCGGTGAATATTTTAAACGTAAACTTCCTCTTTCTTTTTTCTACCGGAATTTCTATTCACGTCGTCCCAGGACTCAATCGATTTCAACAAGTCATTTAAGCGACCAGCTTAAAGCTTGGTATTCTTAGCAATTCATTTTCAGGCAACTCAAGCTATAGCATATGTTTTTGCGGGTTTTCATTATGCATGTTTTAAAAGCATTCTTCGGTTCTTCTTCCTCTTTCTCTTTTTATTAAACGTCAGTTGTTAGTTCAGCGCTCTATCCTGTCTCCCTTATCTCTCCTTCCTGTCGTATTTGCGCTGTTAATTCAACAATATGATCAACCAACTAGCCCACCAGATGATCGTGATGGAGTAGGAAGAAGCGCGCCCTTACGACTCGTCTCTTGACAGACGCAACCGAGCGGCACCAGTGTTGGTCTTGGGCACTCACCACAATGTACATGGACGGCGGATGCTGGTATTGGGAGAACTTGGCGATCAGGGCCTCCAGATTGCCCTTGGTAAGCCGGATCATGCTGCGGATGTTCCTCAGCTGCAAGGGAAACGGCTCGGGCTGAGCACACGAGGCTTCTGCTCACAGAAACGCTCCTCCTGGTTTCTAGGCTGTCTCAAACAGCATATGCTGCATCCATGCTACCTCTCCCACCAGGAGCCTCCAAAAGAACAGCTAAATCCTCTTTTTGTACTCGGGCTGCAGAAACCGCATCCTTTGGCGAAAACTGGATGTGTCCGGGTAGCATTGGGTATCCCTCGACGAAAAGAGACTGCAGGAATCGGATATGCACGGCGCGGATTACCCCTGCCAAGCTATACCTAGTGGGGTTTTGCTACTGACAGAGCTGCTGACGGAGTAGCCAAGGGGTTATTTCAACAAAGGCGGCCATCTCAAGGAGACACCGAGCCTAGTAGTACAGTTCCACACCTCCGCGACAGCGTTCCTAACATTTATACTACACTGCTGCGGTTTGATAAACCTGTCCGCCGTGCCAATGATCACTACATTGTCTCTCTCAAAGACGGAAGAGAAAGACACATGAAGCAGAATAAAGACAGAGTCAAAGAGCATTTGTTGGACAACTTCGAGAATGCTCCCCGTGTTGGCAAGGTATGAAAGCTTCATTACCTGCCAGGCACGGGGTCCCCAAAGGTCGCCGACATAAAACCCCGTGACGGCCCCTTTTCTTAGTCCTTTGCGCTTTTAAACCACCGTCTAGAGAAACAAGGCCTCCTCGCCTGCCCGTCATTACCGCACGTAACCAAGAAGGTCCCCCGGGAGAGAGAAAAGGACGGCCCCCGAGGCAGCTTCACAAAGAGGTTATTAGATTATCATGGCCATCGCGGGAGGGTGACCAAAAGGATCCTCACAACCTTAAAGGCTCAAATGGTATAATGCAGAAAAAATGTGATGCAAGCATTGCTTATGAGACTGACTGCGCAAGAGCAGAAAAAGTGTGATATGATCGACATCGCCAGATATCATTATTCATCATATCTGTAAAATGAAATTATTTTGAACAACACCCAATTTTCCCCCATTTCCTCTCTAAAAAGACAAATTAGTTTGTTCAACACTTCACCTCTGCCCATTTTTTTTTCCGCGCAGAAAGAAAATTTGACTTCTAATCTAAGAATAAAAATGAGAAAACATCCAAGCCTGTCTTATTCCTGGAATACATAACCTTGTAAGGCAAACTTGGAGGCTAAAGGAATAAACCTGACAGATAACGAACTGGGTCTGTCTCGGCCTTTTCTTGCAACCGCTCCAGTGTTGTTTACAACCTAAAAAAAACACTGAACATAGGAGAAAAAAATGTTCTACCTGGTTAGGCATGTCTCAAAATTAATCTTATGCAATCTTGTGTGCAGCAAGGACGAGGACAAAGGGGAGAAACAGGAAACAATGAGGTACGACTCTCAACTGACTTTTACTGAATATGTGTACCAGTATTTGTAGTCTGAACCATCATCACAAAACAAAAAATGACAATAAACAAAACAACAAAAGCAAAGAAAAAACCATCACAGAGCATGATTGGGAAAAACACTATCCCGTTCTCAGAAAAACCAGTTCTTTCTCCGATAATGCAATCGACGGCATAGCAACACACGTGTCTCCTAAATAACCAATGTGTTCGGCTTCTACGATTTCGCCTGTTAACATTGATTTGCATTCAGCATTAACACGCGAAATTTGGTTGTTTCTTTGTGCTTTTGTCGTTTTGTTTGTAGTCATTTTTTGTTTTGTGACGATGGTTCAGACTACAAATACCGGTACACGTATTTAATAAAAATCAGTTGAGAGTTTCACCTCCCTTTTGTCCTCGTTCTTGCTGCACACAAGGTTGCATAAGATTTCAAACCAACTCACCCAAACAATTACTCGTCAAAATTAACATTCGTCGGAAAAAAAAAATTTTTTGCCCAATCTTTGTGCTACATTACGAGATTTTTCGATTTGCAGGCAAAACAAATTGTATTGCTCGATGATGATAGCATCAAGCAATACAGCATGACAGCGTGCTGTATTGCTCGATGCACGACAGCACGACAGCGTGCTGTATTGCTCAATGCACGACAGCACGACAGCGTGCTGTATTGCTCGATGCACGACAGCACGACAGTATGCCACTGCGACAACACCGAAGGGGCAGACAAAACGGACGACGTCGACACGTTCACCGAGAGAACCAAAGAGTGCTCACGTCCCCTCACAGCAGCTTTCGGGCAAAGAAGCTGCCCACATACAAAGCAAGGCCACAAATCGGTCCGTCGCCACATAAGGTGAGAAACGGCGTTGCAATCCGGAGGTCTAGGTCTCTTGAGAGGGTGGCAGGGTCCCGCACCGCCCCGGTCTCTCGAGCGTGCCTGCGGTGCTCAAAGGACCTACGACGACGTCTGGGCAGGCGTGCTGAGCACCTTTTACGACGTCTTCGTCGCAGCTGGCACAGACTGGTCCTGCTCATCCTATCCACAGCAAAGAAACAATCGACACCTAGCAGCCACAAACGGGTAATGCCAATATAACCCTCCGTTACCGCTCCAATCGCAGATGGGGGACATGCCAGACGTCCTGTTCGCTCATTACTTCCTGCGGAAATATGGTAAAACTTCAATATTTCTATACCCGCTTATTGAACATTCCGCATCTTTCAAGAAATTTCTATCCTCCCGTAATTTTCGGCGAAAATGTAACTGGAAATGCGAGCGCCCCGCGATTGCCTACTGGCCAAATTTATCACTTTGTTTAGTGCAGCTTTGGTTTTCCAGATTAACTTTGTATTTGATGTGGGTTTGTGTCATTTCGTGGAAGCATGTTTCGTCAACACAGTGACACTTTATGGAAACTCGTTTCGGAAACACATAATATTTAAGTGGACTGGATTCCTCCCTTCGTTTGCTGGCGGGGAAACTACAGCAGAGACAGCGAGGTGTCTGCGATACAGCAAAAACAAATCTCCAAGTTCAAATCCTTCCAAAGAGAGTAGCGCAAAAATGCAACCTCAGGGTCGAGGTTCTGCGAGCTTCGTCTTGTGAGTGAAAGCTAGGCTACCGTCAGGATGGTGATGGCCAGGGCAATTATCACCGAAACAAGCTGTCGGACGTAGGCACATATCGACTGATTGACGCGGCTCTTTTTCAAGCACGTTGCCTCGATCATGTTGACGTACATCAGCGACAACGCTGGTGTGTCGCAATGCACTTTTCTGACTGCTTAGATATCGAAGAAAAGGAGCAAAGTTGCTACGCGGACATTTAATGCGAAAGATCCACAAGTGCAACAACAATCAATCCCATTGCACAGCGGCTTTCAAGCAAAAAGTAGCTTTGGCAGTGAAGCAGTAGTCCCAACGAGACTTCGGGGGGGACAATTCGTCGGAGGAACCAACGTGCTCGACAACCTTGCTGCGACAACGATGGCACTCTCGGCAGAGAGGTTCACATCCTCAAGTGGAAACCATCATCAGAACCTCAGGAGCAGCACCACTTCCAGCAACCATCATTCGAGCAAAAACCGAGTGAGGATGCCACGCAAAATAAAAGACACGGTGGTTTCATTCAAAGTCGAAAACTCCTGTCGGGGTGTTTGTCTCAAAAAATAGGTCTTATAACTCCGTGATGTACCGAGCCACTCCTTAATATTTTAGAAAAATTAGTTTTGTCCACAAAAATTTTGAAGTGAAGAAAGGTGATATACTGCATTTTGGTAGCTTAATTTTGTCTACTTTAAAAAAGAAATTTTTATTATACTACAAAATTTTTTTTATTGCACCCAATTTTTTTTTTTTTTTTACATTGGGAAAAGTCAAAATTCAGCAGTTTTTGTATGGCATTTAAGAAGAAAAAAAATTATACTCGATTTTGTTCAAACTTCACTTGTGAACCCTTGAAAACCGGTAATTCCAAATACGCAAAAACATGTAGCATTATTCTGTTTTAAATTAAAAAAAAGAAAAGTTTAGCTCGGCATATGTTCCAGTCAACTACTGTCGCAGGACCTTAGCGACTTAGGATCTCAGCGACCATACTTAGGTGTATCCGAACACCAAGAAGCAGAGGTCTCCAAACTCCGGCCCTACCGATAAAGCCCGGCCCGTTTCCAGCAGACAGGCTGCTACTGGACCAAAAAGAAGCAGACTAAAAGAAAACTGTGCCACGATGCGCCTCAAATACGGAAGTGATGACCACTGATCTCTACTATAGGGGGCTGGATGGCGCTTAGCTGCTCGCTGAGCCTGGCGCAAGCAAAGCCACCGGAAGTTTGATGCTTGTCCCGGAAGTCGGGTGTGTGCTGGGCTTCTTAGTGCATTCAGTCAACATTTTGGTCCATGCTTTCGTGTCTTTGATTGGGTTTTAATACTCCCGTTCTGCATTAAATCCCGAAAACAGGGCACATAAACGTGGGACATATGCACACTTGATCAACTAGAATCTAAAAATTTTCCCATCAAATGGCTTCCAAGGATACTTCTGGTGTCCGCATGCACTGTTACTCCGCAACAAGCAGTCTTGTTTGGGATGGCAAGAAAAAACTCAGCGCCCTGGACGCTGTTCAAACAGGCACTCGGAAGAGTTGAAAAGCCTGTTGAGCGCTCACTTATGGGACAAACCGCTTACTTCCAGTGGCTTCATACCGGTCTGCCCAATGCACAATCCAGCCCCCCAGAGTAGAGATCGGTGTACCAGACGGAACGATCGAAACTGCATCATAACACGGGTCGTCCCACCATATTCTTCATTCAACATTGTCAGCCACCATTCCAAAACCCCTGCTTCATGTCTGTGTAACGATGTTAAAATTTCTTTGCATTCTCCTGTACATTCTGCTTAGTGTCCTCCATTACAAATATTGCCAGCATTCAATTTATCATTTTCATTAGATTTGTGCGCAGCGCGAATGGGCCCGAGTTTCCATGCACTTTGATTTAAGCCTGGCGAGTTTTCTTGGTCATGAAGCTGATCCCATGAGTAGTTTTCAACAAACTTGAATCGCGTTCCAGTAATCTTGATATTGACATTTTCGAACTCAAAGGA